ATATATATCTATCTATAGTAATATATAAAGAGAAAGGGGGGTTTTGGGTGATAAATTTATGTTTTCCCAAAATGCCCTTCTCTATTTCCTAATTTATTTATTTTTTAAGAAATTAACTTTTGTAAAAAAAAATAAAAAATAAAAAAAACAATCCACTATAAAAAAAAAATTCTTCACAGCATATTATTTTAACGTCTTTTTACAAAAAAAATCACAATATATTGTTTTTTTATCTTTTATGGTAAAAATAATAAATGGATAATTATAATAGTCAATTATTTTTTTTTAAAAAAGAAAGCAGTTAAACAACTTAAATTATCTAAAGATTTTTTTGTAAAAAAAAAATAATAAAACCACAACTCACACACGTTTCAGTTGGTTACTTAAAAAAAATATTTGGATTTTTTTAAAAAAATTGATCCAGTAAAACCACGTTTAGTTGGTTACTTAAAAAAAAAAAAAAATTGGATTTTTTTTAACTTATCCACGTTTTATCTCATTGACAGTTGTCAAAAACAAAACAAAATTGTTGGGATAATAAAGTCCCATGTAGTCTATTGCTCCCAGTACATCTTCATACAATTTGAATGAATTCATACTCCACTTACAAAAAAAGTTAAGCCTATTGCTCAATCTTTTATGGTTAAAATTCAACGATTATATTTTTGAGGTTTACCTACAATATGTCTACACCATATGCACCTTTTATATATTTACATCCATATTCTGGAAAGTGGAATGTGAAAGCCCGGCTTATTGTTTGACATTCAAAATACGAGACATGGTCGAAAAATATGGAAAGTGATTTTAATTGACGCTACGGTAAACCATTATTTCTTTATACTTTTGGTGTTAACTCATACTTTTATTACTGACAAAACTTACTAACTCCTATAATTTTATTATTATTATTTTTTTTGTTTCCTGTTGTTAGGGAGAGCCAATTCAATGTGTCATATTCTCAAATGATGTCGATCAGTTTGTTGGAAAATTACAGGAGGGATTGGTATATTCGTTTGAAGCCTTGAAGGTGCACATGTAATTGATGCCGATGATTGGTTAAGGTTAATACCAAATCAATACCAATTGAATATAACTCGAGAAACAAAGGTGTCAGTTATTGATACAAATGATGACGAATTCCCAAAAAGTTTCTACAATTTAGTTTCCCTACATGGTGTAAATTCCTTCAAAAATTTCGCAAAAAATTTGATGTTTTTTTAAGTAGTCAGTTGATGATTATATAGATTCTTTTTCTTAAACTCATGTATTACTTTAACTCTACAATTTTTTGTTTGTTTATAATGTAGATGTCATGGGAATTATCATTTATTCAACTGGAACTATCGCGATTGACAATGAAGAAAGTATTAAACAAGACATTGTTATACTCGACCAAAGGTAATTATAGATTTTTATTTTAATCTATCCAAATATTATATATTTTCATTACTAACATAATAATTTTTATTGTAGCAGTTGCTTTGCTATGAGATTGACCATATGGAATGATTTTGTTAATGAAATCGGCAAACACATTTTGGAAAACATTCACCAAAATAACATCTTGCTAGGGTGTGGGCTACAAATTAAATATTTTAATGGTAATTTATTTATTTTACATTTTTCTTTGTGTTGTCTACTGTATCATTGTTACTTTTTACCTTAACTTCATTATATTTTTCAGGGTCATTATTTTTAACAACGGGCAAATACACAAGGTTGTATATAAACCACATAGATCCTACTTCTTCTAGCTTGATGCAGTGGTGAGTATTTTTTTCTTTACTTTTAAAAACTTTTGTTTCTTTGATGAGCATTTTTTTTTTCTTTAGCGTGTGAGTGTGTGACTCTTAAAATTTAATGTTTTTAATTTAATATATTTATTTATTTATTTTTGACACAAAAATTTGTTGTTTATTAATATTACTATACATAATTATAGTGTAGTCCAATAATTTCCTATTGTCTCTCCATTATAAATTGTTTACGTTTGTTCATGTGATTAAGATTATTAATGTAGTAGTTATTTTTCCTTTCTCTTTTTCTATTTTATCAAAAAAAAAATTAAAACCACAGTCATCCCAAAAACGTGTAGATAATTATATACTTTAATTATTTGATATATGTTATCACCTACAAAATTATTTGACATTAAAAAGGATAAGAATTGAAATGTCACCATAACAACTAGATACTCTTGATAGGCATAAAACGATGAGAACCATTATATAATATAAAGTAAACGTAATGTATGTGATACTATTTTTTTTTTTCCACTCACTACTGTATCATATGTATTTATCTCAGGTTTCACAATGATCATTTTGCACAATTAAAAGTCAAGTGGATACAAACATGTGACCTTTCACTGGACAAGGCACTTACAACATCAAATGCACCACGTACAACAATATCTCAATTTTCCTCAATGCCAAAAGTAATTTCATCTCAATTTTACCTACATTTTTATTATGATTTTTACCTTACATTACTATATCACTTAGCTATTTTTAAATGTCTATTAAATATTTTTTTAAACGTGTCATTTATTTCAGAGGAAAATTTACATAATACTTGGAATGTTGATCGATATAAATGAAAAAAAATTCAATTGGTATGATGCATGCTCTATTTGCAACAATAAGGTGTACTACAATGTTGGTCAAGTAATATGTTATAAGTGTCACAAAAATGATGTTCAAATTATTCAAGGGTGAGTTATTTATTTAATTTTTATTTAAAGTTTTTGCAACATTATACTTTTTTAGTCGTAGCTTTCTTATTCATTTATATTTTGTTAGGGTTGCTCTTACAATTACTATTAGAGACTCAAGTGGGTCAATGCGTCTAATATTGTTCAACAAACAAATTGAGTATCTTCTTCGTTCTATAATATCTGAAGTTAAGGAATGGATTGATGAACCGGTATACTAATACATTTACATGAATATTTACAATATTTATTATTGATTTCAACTATTTTAATTTATATATTTAATTTAATTCATTTTTTAACTGTTGTCCCACTATACCATTATAGGTAAATGAGGGATCAAAACTTAAGGAGAAGTGTCAATTGAGTTTGTACCATGCATATGTTTTCACAATAATTTCTCCAAGTACGCATTCTCCTCTACTACCCTACAAAGTCAATTTTGTGACATCCGTCAGTTGGGAAGAAGAATGTGCACATTTACTCCTAAGGTTTGTACTACCTTTATCATTTAATTATTAATAATTTTTACATTGTAGAATACATAATAATTTTTTTTCTAAATTTTCACTACCTCTAATTCAATCTTCTATATCAACAACTCAGTGGAAAAATCATAAGATGGGCGAAAATCTATCTTCAACTATTTCTTAGGAACTTTTTATGTGTATATGTGTTTGCTTACTTAGATTGTACATATTTTAGAAAGTCTCGACACTTTTTCTATTAGTACTCTTTTAAGTACTTTAGTTGATGGGTTCCTTTATGTAAATATTATATTCTATAGGTTTTAATAGATATATGTGTATTATATAGATTTATTAGATATATATGTATAATACTTTATTAGATGAATTTTAAATACTTTATTTATTTTATTGTATTTTTAAATTAGATGACAAAAAACAAAGATTGTACATAATCCATAAAAAAAAAAAAAAAAAAAAAAAAAAAAAAAAAAAAAAAAACATGACAACAAATCTCTTTGCTCCACGCTTTTAAAAAAAAAAAAAAAATTAATAAGTATATAAATGTGAGTTTTAGAGTATGCAACTATAATACGACTTATATTGTTCTTAATAGTTTAAGCATAATAATTTGGACTATCTTACATTATAAGAGGATTAAGTTAATACTATACAAATAAAGGATTAAGTTAATAATATATACAGCTTGGCAAAAAGTTATCTTAATTCTATTGAGGCGACTAATAGATGATTATCAATCAGACTATATGTAAATTAACTTTCTATACTCAAATAGATTTTAATTCTTTCTCCCTTAATTCATCTCCATAGTCATTACCACCTTAACATTTGTTTCTTTTATTTTGACAAGGGTGTAAGGTCATATAAATGAGAGATGTCATTGATTTGTTTGATGACATAATATCAAGAAATAGATAAACGGACAAAAAATGAAATTTGATTAACTTAGTGCATTTAATTGAAGTACATACGAGTTCTATAAATATCTTGAAGTCATAAACTATACAATTTTTTATTTTTTTTTTCCGGAAGAAATAAAAAATACAAAGTTTTTTTTTTTTTTTTTTTTTTTTGGAGAGAATAAAATATACAAAGTTAAACATTGTAAACCTATTCAAAAAAATAAAAAAAAAATAAAATTGTAAACCACTTCCTTATTTCATGGAACAACTAACGAAAACATGATAATAAGATACTTTGACTAAGCAAAACTCCAGCAAAACAAAAGTGTATGTGTATCGTGGTTTATGTGGAATTATTTTTAAAGTAAAAATAAATAATTTAATCTTTTTAATTTTTTTTTAATGTATTAACTACTATAATTTTATCCTTTTTAAAGGCTATTTAAGATCTACTGTAGAACATTAAAAAACGTTCAGTTATCCATTTTCAAAACAAAGTCTGCAAGGGTACAATAGTAAAGTTAAATAAACATTAAAAAAAAATTGAAAAAAGGATACTAAACTAACATGTAAGCAGTTACGTTTAAGATTTGATCATCTAACTTGATGGTTACATTTTCCTTTTTTTTCAACCTCCTTCATTTCTATCTCATTATCTATTCGCAAAAGAAACCATAGTTAATTAATTGCATTGATAAACTTATAGACATTAATATTACCAACAAAAACATACTATCATAATGCTTAAAATGGACCACTACAAGGCTTGATTGGTGTTGACAGTAAACAAAAGTGGGCAATCTCGGCTAGCGGCCAAGTACTACGAGTATACCTTGGGGTTGTGATTTTTTAGGTCCCGCTCGATCGACTGCATCAATTTATTTGCAGGTCCTTTCTTTCTTTCTTTCTTCTTTTTTACTTTTATTAACTATTGTTAATCATCTAATTGAAAGAGTAAAGTGTTTTTCATATATTCAAGAAGTTAAGAGTACAATATTTATATACAAGAGTTCTCCTAAATTAAAGAATGTAATAATATCTTTGACAAGATATTGAGAAAAGGTAATTATACAATATTAGAAGATCACAAAATAATTGCATGATCAAAAGATATGATATGATATTCAGTAGGATAGTAGCTTAATACGGGAGTGATATATGCTAGAAGATAATATCAAGATACTTTTTTAATATTATCTCCTATACTAATAAGAGCCATTAGTAACTAATAATCATCTTTCATACCTTAATTGGGGTATTAGTGAATTGCAATTACTAAGTTGTATGATATGATATTGTAGAGTTGTCAAAATAGTACTCCGTATGTCTTTCATACAAGTCCGTTAATCCTAAGTCTCTTTCCTATGGCATTGAATGGCTAATATATAAGTCTTGATGTTTGGATTAAACTATGTTTAAGGTCCCATTACTCGAATTAGTCTTCCTTTAAGTGAGCATAAATTAAATGTCCAAGCACCTTTTACTACAAACCGTGGGTTAACAAAAGAAACTCAGTTATTCTTGCATATGCTACAGACAAGATACATGTGAATTATTAATACCAGAGTAATAATTCGTATTATTGTTGTCTCAATTTTAAGAATGTGGATTATTGCCAAATATTTTTAATAAAAGTGAATAAAATACTGTAGTATGTATGTTCCACATTATGTACATAGCAGTGCTAATGAATTGTACAAATTTGAAAATAAATTTTCAATGCAACACTCATCTTAATGCCAAAAACTCGAGCAAAAGTTATTAATCTAGATAGGATATAGACACGGAGCATCTACAGTTTGACAATTTCGGATATTTAAATTTGCCAAAAACTCGAGCAAAAGTTATTAATAAGTTTCCCTTAAATGAATGGTTGTAGGTACCAATATATGGAAAATCAAAGGCCAAATTCATCAAATTATCGGAGATTAAGGCGAGAAAGAATGACTCCTGAACAACTTACACAAGAGGCTAATACAAGAAATGCTCAAAGGCGCATGTCATATAATTTAAGGAGGAAATCTCAACAAAATGCTACGGCAAGTTCTCTAAGAGACATTACCAATCAAAGTAACTCCAATGCTAGAGACAATCTTGCAGACCCTACCTCAAGACTTACGTGTGAGTTTATTACTTAGTTTGATATAGTCTCACTTTTAAGACTTTTCAAAATGTTCACATTACTTAATGACAATGTTATACACAAGCTTATTGATTAATTACTTCTTTATTTATCTATCTGTGTACGAAACCAATAGAATATTATTATAAAATTAAGATTACTATTTATTTATTATCATAAAAACATATCATCATGTACAAAAGTTAATTGTTGCGTTATTTCATGCAATAAAATTGATTTGCTAGCATTTTTAATAAAAGTAATAGTAATTTTAATTAACAAAAAGCAAAAAAAATTGCAAAGATTTAATTTGTTAAACTATAATAAATATATTAATTAAAAAAAACACACATAGCTCACATTCATCATCAATATCATTATTTCACACCCGTCTTTTAGAAAGGTTGAATGTGCCTATGTTTACTATAAGATCTAAGATAAGATTTTTAAAATGCTCACAACTTATTATAAATTGAATTTTCATACAGCAATGGGCAACTGTCAAAATAGTGTCCGGGAAATTGGCGAAAGTAGTGGAACTTCGAACACTAACCATCATAATGTCATGCATGTAAACATTGTTGATGAACGAATAATTAGGCAAAGAGTGAATCCTCGATCTGCAATAAATTTTCACGAGCGAAGAGGAGTCCCAAATGTCCAACTTTGTCCTCCAAGACTATGTTCACATTGTCAAGCTCGACTTTTTCATAAAGAATCATCACAGATTTGTTGTATGTCCGGAAAGATAATCTTGCCAACTATACCAGTTCCTGCAGAATTGCTATCATTATACACTGATCAAACACCTATTGGAGTGGATTTTAGGTATAATCTTAGAAAACTAAATCACATACATGCCTTCACTTCCATGGGTGTTCACATAGATGAGAGTTTAGCAAATGCCCAACAAGGAGTATATACCTTTCGAGCTCAAGGTTCCATATATCATAAGATAGGTGGTTTACTCTCTAATGGGTCCGATTGTCGACCACGATTCCTTCAGTTGTACATATACGACACTGAACATGAGATTGAGAATCGATTAGCAGAGAATAGCACTTGCGACGAGACATTATACAAAGAATCAAAGCTATTCTGGATCAATGCAATCCATTTGTCCATACTCTTCGATCTCTAGCACAGCGTGAAGACATATAACAATGTGCACTTCACATTCGCGAACAACCTTCAAATCGGCCACAATATTGTTTACCATCTGCTTCCCAAGTTGCTGCAGTGATTATCGGTGGAGAAGAAGTTGCAAACTTGAATCCGAGAGATATTTTAGTCCAGTCAAATTCTGGTGAATTAATGACTATCATGGACACGACAGGATATTATGATCCCCTACAATATCCATTACTTTTTCCGTATGGTTCTTATGGATGGTCGATTAATAGTGTTGACAATAATGGAAGAACAATTCCATGCCGAGCTTTCTACGCTTATTACTTCCAAGTAATGATACTACACTCACATATATGTGTTAATAAATTGATTTTCGTAATTATTTCTAATCCATGTAGATGATTTTTATTGCAGATACGTCCACATTCTATTTCAATCATCTTGCTTGCACAACGGCTGTTCCAACAATTTGTTGTTGACAATTTTGTCAAAATTGAGGCTAATAAGCTAAGATGGATCCGAGACCATCAACATACCATAAGAGCTGAACTATACCAAGGCTTACAAGATTGTTTGGCTACTGGAGAACTAAATCCAGGTATTTTTTTTTTAAAAAGTTACATATATATAATTTAAAACATTATGGTTACTACAAATTTCCTTATTAGTTTGCTAAAATATACTTACCCTAAATCACTAACAGTAAATGTTGGGAAAACAACCGTCTTACCTTCTTCATTTGTTGGAAGTCCAAGAGACTTGAATGAAAGATGTCAAGATTCAATGGCATTAGTTCTAAATTATGGAAAGCCGGACCTTTTCATCACTATGACATGCAACCCATCATGGAAAGAAATTTTGGAAGAGTTATTACCCGGTCAAACATCACAAGACCGACCTGATTTAATCACTAGGATATTTCATGCAAAATTTGAAGAGTTCAAGAGTGATGTTGTTGATAAAGGCGTCCTTGGGAATGTTGTGGTGTATGTCTATGTCGTTGAGTTTCAAAAAAGAGGTTTGCCACATGTTCACATGTTACTCATTTTGGATGAAAATGAGAAACCAAGATCGCCCGAAGAATATGACAAAATCGTGAAAGCTGAAATACCAGATAGAGATGAGGAGCCACGATTGTATAGTGTTGTTCTCAAACACATGATCCATAACCCATGCGGTGTTGGACACCGAAATTCATCTTGCATGGAAAATGGAGTTTGTAAGCGAAAATTCCCAAAACCATTTTCTGCAAGCACTATTCAAGGTGATAACTCCTACCCTGTTTACCGTCGTCGCGGTGATCATGTTGTTGTGCCTTTGCATGAGAATAGCTCAACCTATGTTGATAATAGTTGGGTTGTTCCCTATAATACATGGTTACAACTAAAGTATGATTGTCATATAAATGTTGAGATTTGTAGCAGCATCAAGATTGTCAAATATCTGTACAAATATGTGCACAAGGGTGTTGATCGTGTTTCCATGGAAGTACGAGCAGGAGCAGATAACAATGAGATTCAACAATTTGTGGATGCTAGGTGGGTTTGTGCACCCGAGGCCTTATGGAGAATTTATCAGTTTCAAATCACTCGAATGTATCCTTCTGTGGAACGATTACAACTCCATCTTCCAGATAGACACCAGGTACGATTTAATACAAATCAATCTATCGAAGATATCCTTCAAATGCCAGAAAACTCCCAAACCATGCTCACAGAATTCTTTAAGATGAATGCCATTGATCCTGAGGCAAGATCTTATCTCTATAAAGACTTTCCTCGGCGTTACCGATGGATGACATCAACAAAAAACATGGAGGAAGAGGAGGAATAACCTGAAAGTGATTGGAAGAATATACACAGCATCACCAATGGAAGGAGAGAGATTTTTCTTACGACAGGTACTTAATCATATCAAAGGCCCTGAATCATTCCAGCATCTACGAACCGTCAATGGAGTTACCTATCCCACTTTTAGAGAAGCAGCTGAAAAATTAGGTCTTATGGAGAATGATGCGAGAATTCATGATTGTTTACAAGAAGCATCAAACTCTAAAATGCCATCTTCATTGAGAAGATTATTTGCCACGATATTGGTTTATTGCCAACCAAGTGGTGTTCGTGCTTTATGGGATGAATTCTTCCATTTTATGGCTGAAGATTATACTTTATCCAATCCTCCAAGTACATCATTTGTTCGTGACTCCGTTCTTTACGACATAGATCGCATGTTGAAGCAGTTGGGTAGCACTATTAGTGACTTCGACCTCCCTGACATAAGCATGCAACTAGATGGCAACATACAATTAGCCAGGGCTATACATGAAGAAATCTCCGCTCCCATTCCACCAGAAGATGTGCATTGCGCTGAGCATCTTAATGATGACCAACACCATTCATTTAATGTCATAATGGAAGCTATAGATGGAGATAAAAATCAAATTTTCTTCGTAGATGGTCCAGGTGGTACAGGTAAGACCTTCTTATATCGTGCCATTCTTGCAACTGTTAAGCTTAGAGGGAAATTTGGTCTTGCTGTAGCTAGCTCAGGTATTGCTGCCACGTTATTACATCGAGGTAAAACAGCTCATAAAACTTTGGGGATTCTAGTAACATTGCATGCTTCATCAACGTGGAAGTTTAGCAAACAAGATGTTGAAGCACAATTGGTAAAGCATGCAGCTGTTATTATATGGGATGAAGCTACTATGACTCACCGACATGCATATGAGGCTGTAGATCGCAGCTTGAGAGATCTAATGGAGGTTGACTTTCCGTTTGGTGGCAAGGTTGTAGTATTTGGTGGAGATTTTAGGCAAATTCTTCCAGTTGTGACTAAAGGAACAAAATCTCAAACCATTGATGCATGTTTAGTTAAATCAACACTTTGGAGGCATGTTCAGCAACTTCACCTCACTCAAAATATGAGATCTAGACATGATGAAGAATTTGCAGCATTTCTTTTAAGAGTTGGTGATGGAAGGGAGCCTGTAGTTAATGAAGACATGATTAAATTACCATCTTCATTATGCATCCCAAATGGCAACCAGAACTCGATTGATAACTTAATCCATCAGGTATTCCCAAACTTACCTGAACATGAAGGGGATGTGACATATATGGTAGAGAGGGCTATAATAACTCCGACAAATGATGAGGTTGATATGCTAAATGAGAAGATACTAAATGATTTTGCCGGAGATGAAAAAATATAGTATTCCTTTGACTCCGTTCCAGAAGACCGTCAAAATCTTTACCAACAAGAGTTCTTAAATTCATTGTCATTTGGTGGTTTGCCACCACATCTTTTGAGGTTGAAAGTTGGATCACCCATAATGCTTTTGCGAAATATTGATACAAGTAGCGGCCTATGCAACGGGACAAGGTTAATATGTTGACAATTAATGAATCATGTTATAGAGGCTGAAATCATGACTGGACATTGCAAAGGTACACGGGTATTCATTCCACGCATTCCTTTAAAAACAGCTGAAGATGCAAAGTTACCATTTGAAATGATTCGAAAACAATTTCCAGTGAAATTGTGCTTTGCCTTGACCATTAACAAATCTCAAGGTCAAACCATTCCTCATGTTGGTATTTATCTTCCCAAACATGTTTTTAGTCATGGCCAGTTGTATGTTGCATTATCAAGAGGGACTTCCCAACGAATGACCAAGATCTTGGTTACTAATGGCAGCATTCAAGGAAAAGATGGTGTGTTCACTAAAAACGTTGTTTATAAAGAAGTTCTCCTGCCTCATTTTACTTAGCAGTTTAGAAACACGGTAATTAATATTATGCTTCACACTATTTTTTTTCCAAGTATTATCTTTTGCAATTGTTATATACATCTTATAACTAGATTCTAATATATATATTTTTTAACATGGTGCAGGATAGACAAATTGTGACGAGCATATTGTATGAACAAAATTACTGCGCCAAGTGTTTCTAATGACTAATGTTTGTAAACTTAATTTCATGTAGTAATTTCTGTTTTTTCCAATCATGTATGTATTGCTACTACTAATTGTAATAATTTCAACCTTTTATTTTATAACTTTCACTACTATAATATTACATACATATTTCTTATATTGTGCACGCATGGCGTGCACTATCTTAGCTTGTATTCATAAAATGTATTTTTGTCTATATGATGATTATATTAAAAAGAAGCAGAATTAGAATTAAGGAAAATAAGAGATTCTAAGAGATAATTAAAAATATAATTTTACCAATTAAATCCCCCCAAAATATAGTTTTTGTCTTAAATAAAATATCCGAAATATATAAATAATCCGAGTTTTTAAATAGGATAAATGGATAATAAATCTTATCCAAAATAATGATTAGTTTTCAAAATACTTTTGGCTCCAAAATTCAAATATTTTTTTGACAAAAATAATAAATTTACTAAAAAACTATTTTTATAAAATAATTCTTAATTAATTAATTAGAAAATACGTATGAAAATACGGGGTATTACACCTATATATCCCTCCCTTAATTTCCCCACACCAGAAAAACATCGACCAACCCTAATTCTTTTTCCTATTCCCTTCCCTCCATACCAAACCATTAGTAACACTATAGTCCTAATTAAACCATCAAAGTTGCAAATTCAAGTCTTCATTTGAATTTTTTTTTTCCAAAAATCAGATGAAAACCATTATTGTCTGAATATAAAAAAATAATTGCTGAAAACTCTATCAAAAGCTACAAAATTACAAGGAATAATTGGTAAAAATACAACTTTGGTTCGTTCGCTCAACATAAGTCATTCGCTCAAAAAGATCCCAACCGATCATTTAACCTGGTTTAACAGGTTAAGGTGACATGTGTCACCATATAATTGGCTGAAAAAAATATATAAAAAAAACCCAGGCCAGCTGTCAGAACCCCAACCACGACCACCCTCTCCACCACCTAGCCACGACCCCTTTGCAACCCGACATCTTCGCTGGCGCCTAGACGTAGTTCCTCCCCCACCCTAGCGTCGGTGACGCCCCTCCCCTAAACCACAAAACAACCCAAAACACCCATACGACAACCCGAAACCCCCAAAAAAAACCCTCCGTCGCCGCATTAAACCCCCCAGATCGACCCTCCCCACCCTTAGAACCCTGAAGACTAGGGGTTCCGAGGGTGGGGGAGGGCCGATTTGGGGGTTTAAAGCGGTGGGGGAGGGTGTTTTTTTTAGGGATTTCGGGTTGCCGTTTTGGATGGTTTAGGAGAGGGTTTTTTCAGAAAATTCGGGTTGCCGTTTTGGGTGGTTTGGTAGTTTAGGGGAGGGTTGAAGTTGGGGGAGAGCGGATCTGGGCTGGGACTATCGGGATGGTGGTGGTCGGCTGGTAAGGTTAAGTGGCTATTGGTTGTGGGAATTTTTTTGTTTTTTTTTAATTAAAATTTTTCAACCTATAATGTGTTGACATGTGTCACTTAAAACTAAAAAAAAAAAAAAAAACATCTTTACCAAATTAGCAAATGGGTGAAAATTAGGATTATATATATATATAATAAACAACTAGGAAGTAAGCGCCCTGGCAGGCTAGCACCGTTTTATCAACCAAAAAAAAAAAAAAAAAAAAAAAAAAAAAAACCTAGCACCTTACCAAATTCCTCTACCCACAGCCGTATTCTCCACCCTCAGGTCTGTAGCCACCTCCAGTGGATTACATCATCTTTGTCTGTTCAATGAGATGGAGTCCAACAATCAAGCTAAAGGGGTACTCGTACTTGCTTTGTATTTTTGAGATTTGAACTATGTAATTATAAGAGTAGGTTTTATTTACGACTTTACGTAGTATGATGAATCCAATCGATCCTCTACACTACCTAGCTTATTGTTTATGCATGCATATTATTATTGGTCAATTTTGATTTAATATAATTGTACCGTGTACCATTATTATAAGATCAAATTCTTCAGTCTTGTACCGATTTTATTTTGATTGCACAATATCATCAGTTGTTTACACAAACCGGTAAGTATATAATCCATTTCATTGTATTACTCTTTAGCCTTTTTAAGATAGATAATCATATATGTATATAAATAATCATGGTAACCTTGGTAAAGAACTTTTCTATGAGGGATGTGATCAGATGCAGCGTGGTTTGCAAACGTTGGATCAATATTGCAAGCTTTGAAGCACCCGTAGAGCCACCTTGGGTAACAGTGGTTAATGTGTTATCCGATACCATACAAGATGATCAATATAGTAATTGCTTTAGTTTATGGGGCCAGGAAGGTTCACTTGATCAGTCTATTTATAGACTCTCTGGTGCCCCTACCACCATTTACAACTTAATTAGATCAAATCCTCCATCCTTTTTGATAACACGGTGGAGTTGTACAAGTAAGGCAATAAGGATAAATTGTGTTTGAGTTGAGTACATTCTATTGGAGATAAAGCATATTTCATGGGATTTTGGGGAGGAGGCCCTTCCTTTTGTGTTTCGGCAACAAGTTTCTCCAAAGTGCAACAGAATTGCATCTACTATCACAATAATCTTAAAGGATACAGTTTCACAATAATTTCCTTGGAAGATGGAGCAACCAAACATCTTGACGTCAAAACGCGTGACGAGTATGCTCCCCTGGGAGATAGTAAGCTCATTGCACCTCCACCTCTCAGCTCCTACCAACACCATGAGTTCTGAACAAACCGCGTCGGTATGATAAAGTGCAAAAGGGAGTGGCAACTTGGCCAACTACATGGCACTCCAAAGATCAGCCATTGAGGACCGATCAAATCTAGTAATTTCACAGATTCTTTCATTGCCATTTATGTACCAAACTCATAATTTCAAAACTTCTGAACATCTCAAGATATACATGATTATTTCAGCAGTAAACTATCACATTATTAGATTTACAAGCAAATGGATGCCACAGATCAAGCTATAAAGCTTTATAATAAGTCACTAGAATGCAGGGTTTTTTTTTTTTTTTTTTTTTTTTTTTGGATGTACAGAGAAATTCACTGTTGACAATATCTTTCATCATAGGATATAAATCACCTGATTGGTAGGTATATAAACTGAGAAAGTCAAGTAAACATGAAAGCCTCAATCAGCTTCCGGCCAATGGTATCAAGGGCTTTGTACTTCTGATATCAGATACAGCAACTTAGAAAAACTCCTCTCAAACTTGGCAACAGAAGCATGTTCGTGAATGAAAGTTAAGCCACTTTACCAGTCCTGAGCTTCGGTGTTTTCTGTTTGACAAAGAAAGCCGACAGCATGCTTTTGTGGCGAATTGGGGCCTTAACAATCGCTTGCCGGGAGTTGGAGTTGTTAAAAGACTTGAATGGTGTCATGGCCTTAGAATCCGATACAGAATCCTGCAATTAGAAAGTATATTGTTTTAACTACATAATTTGTACGTTAATGAACTTGAGAAGATATCTCAGTGCTTTATAACTGGGTGTCTCTAGCAGGGATGCCAAATGTAGCTAAATAATACCCACTATTTTGAGATTCTTGGCATTGTGCTAATCTTATAGAACGAGTATTATTAACAACTTGGTATATGTTATGAATTATGATTTATGAAACAAAATGTACTCGTAGATCATTAAAGCATCTACAGATAAAAATACTCAGGAAAGCTATGGACAAACTCAAAATCTTGTATATTCATAAAATCAGCATGCTTATGGGAAAAGCAGATATCACATAAAATATTATTTGTCATTACCTTAGGCATAGCACCATATGGTTGCATAGAAGCCCCAGCTGGATCTCCACTAGGTAGCTGTGTATGGAGCCCTGATGACTTAGCCCGAATGTCAGCCTCATTATCTGTACATATGACAGGAGATGAATATCGACTAGCTAAGCCTACTAAAAAATAATGTTATTGCGAGAAAGTTGAATGGGCTGAGTAACATACCTAGGAGCTGGAATACTGCGGGAGATCTAGGAGAAGCCTTTTGGACTTCAGAGCCGCTGCAAGGAAACAAGTGGGGTTAAGGTCTGCAATATTTAAGCATTTAGGAGTTTCACAAGAGCACACCAAGATAATTGATTGGCAACACATGATGAATTGATGATAGTACTTCTAAATCAGGCTAAAATTCCATGGTATATTGGACAAACCTGAAAACAGTCTTATGATTCCCTTTTAAGGGAGACTTTGATTCAGAGCCAAGGTGCCAAGAAAGAGTCTTTCCAGGTGAGCCTGAATAGTTTAACAATGAAACCAACTAAGCACATTAAAGAGGTATGATGACAGCATTTAAATCCTCAGATATCTTGAATGGGATATTAAGCACCTGAAGGATGAACACGAGGCCTAGCCTGGACATGCATTTGCCTAGGATCAGACTGCGCAGCAGGACTAAAGTGCACCTTTTTGTTGACAGAGTCTAAAGCAGCATACAACAAGATGGAGGTGTCAAAATATAGGCTCTGTCAGTTACAGTACAACATAGGAGACAATTTTGAAGGGCCAAAAAATTGTTGGACAATGTTCCTTACTTGGCAATATATAGCGTTTATGATGTCTTGGAATAATTGCCAAAAGTTGCTGCTGCCTAAGGCCTTCCATCTCCATATAAGTGTGGCAAGTGAGAAGTTTCTGAAGACAAAATGATCAGCTCCAAAATATAAGGAATAAAGAAAAGAAAAAAGAAAGAGATAAGTAAATGTCCTACCTAGGGAAACAGAGAAACGGGAAATGGCCGCACAAAGCAGAATAATTCACATGGTGATGAGAAAGAAACTATACCTGATTTAGACATGTTATTTTCAGCTCTGTGTTTGACACATCTGAAGTTTGTTGCTCAAGAAGGTCAGTCAATTTGTACGCAACAGTGCCTAGGTGGTCTACAGCATTAACTAGAGCTCGTACAGCATAATCTTTTAGGTTGTCCAATACCCTGTGGCATAATTTACACAAAAATCATAAGGGAAGACTAAAGAAAAAAAAAAAAAAACACAAATAACTCATAGAGTTGTGTGTGTGCTGTGCATGTGTACAAGTGTGAGTTCGGTTTGTTTCTTTTCCACAGTTATAATGGATTTAAAACTTATTGTATAAATATACAAAATTACGTTATCAATATTACTGTTTAAAACTCTATATGCCGTATATGGTAACATAGGATGATTAGGATCAATAAGTTTCATACTCTCTTGAGAGTTGGAATAGGGGCAGGCAAACAGATGATAAAGACTACACGACTGATTAATAACAAAGGTAAACTTGCAATAATTATACTGTAACATTACATTTGTTTCTGCTCACTATGAAGATAAGACTTCTCGCAGTATTCAGCGGCAGAGTAAAGCTGGGGTCTCAGATTCTTGAGTTCCTGTAAAGCAATTGAGCAAAAATGATCAAAATTAATTAGAGAAGACAAAAGATTGAGTTACAAATCCAATGACAAACAGACTGAATAATCGACTTCTTAGAAATAATGGAAATTTAGGGTATACACTTCTAGTCACTACCATTCTTTTTCCTCCACACTAACCAATGAGTTAGCTGCATTAGCATCTTTATTGGGGGAAGCTTAATATTAGTAGTTTTCCAGAAGAAAATAAAATTACATAACAGTAGGAATAATTACTGAATCATAGCATGTCAAGCACCATATATCAGTACCACAGCAGACAAAACCAAACTTGTTAAAAGGACTATAACAGAAAATGCAATACCTTCAGCACTTCGATTACTTTTCACAACACAAAACCATCTTTATAATATTGTTCCCCACTTCTCATAAGTTTAATTGCTGCTTTAACAAATACAGAGTACTAAGAATCCACATGGATCAAATTGAAAAAAAGGTGCAGATGTCCCTCCAGCAGGAGTGCAGGACATGGCTAATTCATTCAACATTGCACACTTTGATTATATCTACAATAAAGAGCTAAGAAAATGTTCAAGTGCATATCTCCTTCTATGTTTCACAGTATTGTTTGGCGTATTTATGCAACCTATTATATGCAAAACAAAGTAGATAGACCTTTGTAAAAAATAATGATATCCCTCTTCTCAGTGAGATGTCTCTGTGGCATGAAGAGCTCCATACAACAAATTTAACTCAAGATTCTCAATCAAGCAACCATCCACCAAGCCATGAAGATTTCTATTCTGGAGGAAGATGGAGACAACAGATGTGGCTACAACATAAATATACCAAATTATAATAAAATAGTCACCATTATATCTTTATTAGAGTAGAAGTGCATCTAATCCCTAGCTTATTAAGCTTCAAACTTCATCTTACAATGAGCTCTGGACATCCTATGAGGCTAGGAAGCACTATTAACCATCAACTCACTTTATTACAAGTATAGCACCATGTTTGGATAGCTATTTTACTCAAGCAAAGAATTGTCAAATCCTTATCACTTTTAAACAAGAAAGGGACTTTATTAAGCTCTAGGCATTAAGCCCCTCTTAAAACACACCAAAACCGTTCGTTTTCTCTTTAACACTACCCCCTTACATCTTTGTATCCCAACAACATTAATCTGACAATTTGCCTCAACAACCAAAGAACTCCTCTATCATATACAGAGCTGAACACGCTCAATGTAGTTTCTCTATAGCACTCGTTCTAACAGAGCTGAACACGCTCAATGTAGTTTCCTGAATGCAACATTCGTCAATTCATCAAGCTTTTCCCTGAATGCAACAGTATAGCACTCATCGTGCCCTTCCCCGGATACAGCAGCTAATCAGCTATATACATTTAGCATCTCTAGTAAAGCACTTGCTTATCTTGCAAACATAACTCGAGAAAGTGACCGCCAAAAACAGAAATGTGCCTTCCATTCACATCATCTCGATTCAAACCAGAACACCATCAGTATAATTCTACTAATTTCTCATTCAATTGTCTAATTGTTAAAAACATGGAAGCATTTGTCCATAATCTATCCAAACTACCAGTACAGTCTTTAAGATGAATCATGTTACTGTACATTAATTTTTAAAATTGTAATTTGTATGAAATAAACCATAAATATAAAAATAGAACTACATATTAGAGGAATTAGTCTATTTTTAACAAGAATATAATGAAAAGAAATCATAGATAAAAAAAAAAAAAAAATCCAATTATAGCCAATTAATTATTCATCATGCGAAAATCACTTTATAATAATTGTATCATCAAGAAAAACACATAATAAGCCTTACAAAATAAAATAACTTAAGATGAAGCTCAAAAACATGGGAATCCAGATCTAGCAACAAGAAAATGAGGAGGAGAGAGAAGAGAACCTGCAAAGCTTTGACGAAGCTTTTGCTACGCTCCATGGAAGCTTCATCGAAGGTCATAGGATTAGGGAGAGCTTTAGGTTGCTCGACTTCCATATTTTCTCAGAAAAAAAATTGAAGAAATTAGGTAGAATCAAACAATGGAAGAAACCCTAGGAAAGAAGAAATCACAGAAAGCATGAAATTGAAGAACATTAAATTGATTAAAAGAGGAAAGAATGTTTTTGTAATAAAAGTTAGGTTTGGAAGGTGGAGTTAGGAGAGTGAAAGAGAAGCAATCCCCGGGAAAATGAAGGTGAGCGTATTTAATATTAATGGGGAGATTCAGATTTCAGAATACAGATAAAGATGTGTGTTTATGAAGACGGTGGTGGATACTACTGTACTTGTACACTCAACTCAATCAATTATGAAGGTGGTTGACTTGACTATCCCCTATTTTAACCAACTCTTTAATTAGTTTTATTACACTCTACTCTATCCATTTTTTTTTCAATTATTTGAAATTTGATCTATTCATTGTGTTGGCAAGAAAAAATTAATAAGACTGTCGTGTTTATTTAGAAGTGGGTCTGGTATCATATTATTCTTGTAATGACAATGGATAATTTTTAATTCTGCATTGATTTTTTTTTTTACCAGTATTCTGCATTGATCTTTCGTTCAATTCTAACATCGATGTCATTCTTTCCGGTAAAAAAATGCAACACTCCCTCTTCTTTGGGTTAACAACAACAAGTGTACTAGGAGTTGCTAATCCTGTACTTTATCTCTTTGGTCTACCAAAAACCACACATGAGAAAAATTGTTCAACTCATTGAACTCTATTTTTCTGTGTTGATGAGTTCTACATGGAGGGATGTTGGCATGAGATTCAATCCATACTCGGAAAGACGATACGATGATGATAAGAAGCAATTCGATGACGCTCTAGGGAAGATCGAAGGAATGTAGTGTCTTAGCTGATAAGAGTGTAGGAAGTAAATTTTGGCGCTGAAACATTGTCACTGATGCAATTCTTATTTCAGAAAGAAGAAACAATGATACATGTATATGTGTCGTTTTAATAATCATTTTTTCAATTGGATGTCATGTTGATGCTAAAATCAATCACCTAATCTATATTAATTAATAAGTGTTTTAGGCCTATTATCACCCTTTTCTGATTTTGTTAATGAGGTAAAGATTACGATCAGTAAAAGTAATTATGAGGCGCAGATTAATTTCTCATCAACCACCATCCTTAATTAATCAATACAAAAAATGATGAAACACGATCACTTTTTAAAGATCTTTGTGGGGCCCTCAGCCATGTGAGCTCCACAAATGAATCCTTCATTTAAGGATCTTCATCAAATTGATTAGGTAGCATAAATCGTATGATGTTTCACAGCTCAACTAGAATTAAGATATGATCATACGTAGTATAACATAAGAGCAACCTTGCGTATTGCCTATTGGTAGTTTAGAAAATTGCTGGGAAATGTACCTTCACTGGCATTGTTTCTACTCTCAAGCTCTACTTCAAAGCGCCAACCTTTTCAACTGTCACCTCTTTCCATCTTCGTCCTTGAACGTTGATGTAATAAAAAAAAAACGATGACTTTGCTCAATCCCGAGTGATTACAAAAACAGTGATGAGAATGAGGTTTAATCGAAGTGCTTGAATACTACCCCAAAGACTTTATACCTAGGAGTGTATTACATTCTTGACATCTACTACTGTGACTTCAGTACTTGACAAAAAAATTTACTCGGAAAAAAAAAAAAAAAAAGGTCAGTTACATGTCAGACAAGTCTATGGCTCTAAGCTGCTATGGCCTACGGATGTATAGCTTCTTACTTCCTACCTCCAACAAGATGAGAGTCATGAGACTCGATACTTGTTCCTTTTATTTGAAGTAAACATGTCTATATGATGTGAGAATTGTTTGGTACCTTCATAACCCCACTAATCAACTAAAAGCCTCAGAGGCCACATCTGTGAACTCATGAAGTCAAAACAAGGTCTTTGAGACGAGCAGCAGACCTAGTAGGACTGAACCACTGATAGCCTCAATGTGGCTAAATGCCTACGATATAAGATTAAGTAGGCGGGTTGATATAATAAAAGAATGGAAACTTTTAATAAAGGGGTACAAGAGACAGAACTCACCAGTTCAAATCAGACTTCCATACTTGCATATCCCATTATGTTAACTGACAAGCACAAATCTGCCCATAGCATAAATTGACAACAAAAAAGCAGCAAGAAGAACCTTGAAATCTCAACTTTATATTTAAATATATACATAATCTACAATGTTTACAAGACTATATCATGCTTAATTACATATGAGCAGGTGGTGAGGTCTTGTTCATGCTACAATTAATGAAGCTCCAGCATTCTGAAATGATTATTAGTATATTATATATATAACATACAGGCGTATACTTTATCGTTCAAGAAGCATAAAGGCAACTATATGGCCCTCCAATGCTAAGGATGACCAAGCTCTAGGCATTCAAAAACTAGCAAAATTTACTTTTTACCAGAAGGCTACGATCTCTGAGAAGTTTCTGCCTCATGTCTATGTAAAAGATCCAGGGCAGAATTCAAATAATGACTTACAGAAATCATTTCTCCCGCAAATGGGATGAGTTCTGTGGATGAAGTGAGCTCAAAGCAGGTTGGCTTTGGAGTTGTAGGGTAGCCAAGTGACAGGATTAACTCCTGGACAGAGAGTACCTGGAACTTACGAGAGGTATTGAGGGCAATGTTGTCAACTTTATGCTGATAAATCTTCCCATTCCTATCAAGCTTGTACTCTGAAAGGCCATCAAAACGACCACGGCTCTCCCACGGAACCCGTGGGATTCCATGGACAGTCCAACGAACCAAGATGACATTCTCCATAGGTTGCCACACACTCAGAATTTCAACCCACAAAGCTTTAAAAAATATTCTTCCATGGAATCGCAATGCCCAAAAAATTGATTTGTAGTTCTCAATGCCAGCAAAAGTATTCAGAGGATCTTTGAACACAATATCATCCCTATTAAGAATCCAAACAAGAATGAAAAAGTCGATACGTGATCAAAAATGACACACACACATGGTAACCAGTATTGGTTTGAAAGCCTAAATCCATCACTTTCTTTCCCAATCATTCTTGGCATTCATTAATGGAGATAATAATAATTATAAGGCATAACTGTGTAAGACACCATCATTCTTCAACATAACTACACCCCCTCTGGCCCTCTTCTTCATCAGGACTTTCTTACCTTTTACTTAGCCATGTTTCAAATTGACAACATTAGTAGCTAGCCATGCTACTAGTAACTACGAATATTACTTTGTGCAATTAACGTATTACTCTGTTTGAGGCCTTTGAGCACATGCTTCTATTGCTCAGTTTTAGCATTTCTTAGTTTCCATGCTTTATCAGCCAGGACAATTCAAAATCTATTAAAGGGAGTGAAAATTTTGACAAGATGCCAAGTTGAAGAATGACTCACACTTCTAATGTTGTACCATCTCATACTAGCTACGACTCTACAACGAGCCCACAATATGTATATAAATAATTTCAAGCTCAGACCTCCAAATATTAGTAAGCCACATACCTTATCGATTAATTATCTTATCGTCCCTTTATAATTAGATCAAAAAAAATATCGGAATCATCTCAATTCCTTCCAATTAACCAAAAACATTCAAGCTCCTTCCTTTTCTCTTCTCTTTTCTTACTCTAATCATCTCCCTTCGCTTCCTTTACCACAGTATACATCAATGAAGCTGTTTTACGGTTTTGCTTTTCGGGTGTTTTTCCAAGGCATGTAAAAGGGGGGTCAAATCAAAAATCTCCAGCAAAATTGATCAGCATATTTCACATCCAATACAATCCACAAAAATATAAGCCAGTCATCATAAAAAGCAACTTCATGTCTTGAAACAAAATCATATCAATAAAGACAACCAATTTTAAACAAGTAATGAACAATAGATATCACTAAATTTCCAGCAATTAAACCAAAAATCCAGCAAATTAGCAAGAACATTCAAATGGTAATAAAAATTAGAGCGAATTAGAGAGAATTACCTGTAAATATCGAAATTGGGCTCCCTGCAAAACAATTCAGGAAATTCCTCTCTTAAACAACGAATTGCATGACCCATGTTGATATAATAATCTCGTTTCTGCTCATCTTCTTTCTTCTTCTTCGGGGAAGAAGACGACGTCGTAGAGCTGCTAATACTACTACTAGGCTTCACAGGAGCAGAAAATTGACCATGAACCCTAGCATTTGGCTCAGGGGTAGTAACTTTAGCACAAACCCTAAGCTTGAATCTGCAATTTCCATTGAAAATGGAGATATTGGGGGAATTGAGGATTTTAGGGTTAGGGTTTGAGAAAGTATTCGTTAATCCGGATATTGACATTGGAAAATGGTTGTTGAATTTTGTGAAGGAAAATGGAAATTGGAAGAAAGAAAGAGGAGGAAGAGAAAGAGGAGAGGTGTGTCAGTGTGTAAGCGTGGGAAAGATTGTGTGGATAAGATGATAAGTTTATGGGGATAATTGGGGTTGTGAGTTGTGACTATTGTGAGCACAAAGTTTGATTGATTAAACTTTGAAAGAAAAGTATGACCAACTCAATTTTGGTCTTGTTTGTTTTAAGTTGTATGAGATCGGAGGGAGGTAACGCGTTTGTCTTAGCGATTTTACCATTATTTGATCAAATTTTATTAAGATTGGAGGGTGATAATGGTTTAATTCTTGTAATTTTACTTAAATTTTCTAAAATTGTCAAACAATTGGTATGTGTAATATGTGTTAGTATTGGTGAGGGTTTGGACATATGAATGTATATAACTTTTTACTTTAACTGCGACAATATTCCAATTTAATCTCCTACGAGACATTCATAAGCACAATTAGTGTTGGCTCAATACCCCTTAATTGGTAGTGTAAACAATGCAAACTCAATAGTTAAATATTGGCACATGACTGCTATTTTACATGGCAACTTGGCAATTAAGTAAATAGCATGAATAAGACAAAAGTTGGTAGTGGTACAAATAAGTATATAAATTGTCATCGACTATTGTACACTATTACTTATGATAGCTATAAATAGTACTACTAAAATAACTTAGGTTTTGTTCTCATACGTTTATTTTCAGTTCAGCTTAGTTAGTTCAGCTCAGTTCAGTTCAATTCAACTCCTAATTTCCTTATCTTATAAAATATCAGTTCAATTTAGCTCCTAATTTCCTTCTCTTATAAAAAATTCAGTTTAGTTCAGCTCATCAACTCCTAATTTCCTTCTTATAAAATATTCAGTTCAGTTTAGATCCGTTCAACTGAGTTCAGTCTATGAGAACATGCCCTTATACTCTATTAGTATAAAATACATATATAATAGTACATTAAAAATTACCACTTTTAACGATAAGAAACTTACAAAAATTATGTGAATTTTACTAGTTAGCCCTCCTATATGCATTCCAAATAAATAGCAGTTATGTGCCTAGTTGCACTATCAAAGATCAGCACAAGAACAATCAACTGCACTTATAATTTGCAACAATAAAACATTATGTTTTTTGTTTGCTAAAACGTTAATAGATTGTGTATAGTTTCTAAGCACCTTATATTGCAAACTTTTACATTACAAATTTATAATCAAGGTAAAACACAAAAATAGTACAGTAATAGATAAGACACAAAAGGAGTAGAATTAATTATTTTTCATAGTAGTATTTTTTATTTGTGTTCTTTCGAATATTCGAATAAATTAAAATGCCAAAGAAAAAAAGAAAATCAGCTAGTCTATATGATCGTATGCTAGTCACAAGTTTAGCCACAACACTTCTGCCTTTCTGGAACTATCCTTCATGCATAAAATAATTTAAGGGTCCACTTTGAAGATCTCACTAACCACTTAGGACACACTTCCATTTTGGTCATATGTATGACATGGGTAGTTTTCAAACACATAATTTTCCATTGATCAATTTGGCAAATTTTAAGTTTCTCTAGCCCCCTTCGCTAAATGCTTTTGTTGCCATCCAATTATTCGAAAGTCCAAATTAATACATAGAATATGCTTTAAAATAAAAATAAAAATAAAAATAAAAAGAATAGAGAGACGAATATTTTAACATGCTCGTCGTAGCTTCTATCAGATGCGAGTAATATTCTATTTTTCATTGTAAACATAGCAAAAAAACATTTAGTACCTCTTTAAACATAATTACATCATGTTTAGCTTTAAATTTTTTTTAAAAAAAAAAAAAAGAAGAGATGAATATTTAAACAAGCTCTTCATAGCTTCTGCTAGATGCGAGTAATATTCTATATTTCATTGTAAACATAGTAAAAATTGTTTAGTACCTCTTTAAACATAATTACATCATATTCTTAAAAAAAAATAAAAAAATAAAAAAATCATCATATCAGTCTTTTTATGGCGTTTACGCTATCCATATATATTTCATGTTACCTTTGACTTCATTATTGAATACTTCAATATCACTTACAAAATGAAAGTTATTACTATGTACTTTTTTGTAGAGTTATTCTCAATATGTAATATTAAAACACTAAAACTCTTATAATACATATTTAAAAAATAATGGTTTAAATTGTGCATATACAAACATAAATTGTGAACTAGTGTAACACCTTAAAAATGAGTGGAATGTATGTTATTAAGACAATATCAAGTGAATGAGGACCAAACAAGTCCTCAATACTCTCTTTTTAGCTATACTACAGCATACTTCATAATGATTGCTTAATACTTGTTGTTGGTGCAGTGGTGATTAAGACTGGCTTGGTAAGAAAAACTGCGTGTTCGATCTCCTCACAACAACAATTAGGAGTGAATTGGAATCTAACCACCCATAATTAATTCGCGTATCCAGGTTAGCTTAAAGGATGAATCGGAAGGAACACCAAAATAAATAAATTTGTCAAGTCATATTTTGTTAATTAATTGATCTTTCGTTATTCTTTGTGTTAATTGATTGACTTTATTCTACTATATTTAAAGAAGAGAGTCATTTAAGTCTTTGCAAGGGTACACCAATACACCACAACCTATGTCTTGGCTTTATAAGAGTATAAATATCAACGTGCCAAATCATATTACGGAGTCTCAATTAAGACATTCAAATGAATTATCTCACTACTCAAGCCAAAAAAAAAAAAAACCAACCAATCGATTTCAACTCCACACAATAAAATTAACATTAAAACGGAAAACTCAATCAATCTCATCTTGAAGAAAATTTTATAATAAAATAAAACCTCAATTAAAATTAGGAGTAATTATGATTGTCTATATGCAAATGGGAAGGGCCGTTATAGGCTCATCACTTCACAAACTTTAAATGGGCCTTGGGCCCATAGCAAACTTTTCACTAAGTGTCCAATTTTTTTTATCACCCCAACTCTAACACGAGTACACGACCATTCCCAATTTTTTTTTTATTATTTTTTTTTAAAAAAAAGTTCCCAGAAACCAGAATCCCACTTATCCCAGTAGCGTAGTTTCTCCAAGCCGTAATTCCGTCACTATTTCGGCGGCGATCGTCGAAGGAAACCACACCGTCGGTAGAAAAATGGATGTTCCCTTACCATTTGATAAATTAAGTATTTCCTCAAACAAGTAAGCATATACTAATTGTCAATTCATTTGATAGTATTTATTAAAATTGCTAACATCTTGCTCGGGTTTGTGTTTGTGTTTGATCCACAAATTATACTTTGGTTTGATTGATAATTGATACTCCATTAATCAATCAAATCAAATGTTAGGCCTCACTTATTTTTATTCATTTTTTTTAATAGAGAGAAGACGTCTGTGGTTTTATGTACTAATAATGTGAAATTAATTGGCTTAGAATTGGCAAGAGATGCTTTGAATTCACAAGGTTTTTGTTGTGCGACAGCGGAAGCAAAGGTCGAAAACAAACAAGAAAACAATAAAGAAATTCAATGCAAACAATAAGAACAACACCAAGAATTTACGTGGTTCACTATCGATGTGATAGCTACGTCCACGGGCACCGAGATCGAATGATTTCACTATAAACTGCAAAGATTACAAAGATGATTCTTGTATTTCTCAAGAACGGCTCTCACTCTGTCTCTCTTAACCCTAATACTAATATTAGGGAGGTTTTATATTAATCCCTAAAATAAAAGATACTTGGGCAAAAAGATAACATAAAAGATAACTTTAAATCGTAAAATCCGCGTCTCCGCATTTTTCCTTCTCCGCCCGGTCAGACCGGGCAAGGTCTGCCCGATCGGGCGCGAGAAGAAAACTCCATACGAATGCTTCAACGTATCCAACCCCCACCGCCCGGTCAGACCGGGCAAGGTCTGCCCGATCGGGCGAAGGCTCGCCCGGTCGGGCGCGAGAGCAGCTTCTTCAACGAATTTGCCAGGCACCTCTTCTTCTTCCGCCCGGTCAGACCGGGCAATGTCCGCCCGATCGGGCGGACAAAGCTACGAAGTACGAGTCACCTAATATACTTATCAACAGTTTTCATGTTATTGGAGGCTATTTATCACCTGTCAACGATGCATATAACAAGAGGGTATCCTTCATTTTTCTTTCTTTTGGGTGATTATGTATCAATTTCGTATTGTATGTGCATTATGGCTCAATTTTTGGTGTTATATCAAATGTATGTGCAAAATGAAGTGAGATCCTGCTTTGTTTTTTCTGCAGGGCCTTTTATCTGCTGAACATCGTTTACAAATGTGTCAACTAGCCTGTAAAAGCTCAGACTTTATAATGGTAGATGCGTGGGAGGTAATATGCTGCTAGTTATTTTTGTAATCAATTTAATATCCGACCTCCGAGCATTTTCTTTACATCCATCCTTTGATGGAGGTGTGAGATGTTGAGATATCCTTTTATTTGTTTGAATAGTTGGGACTTAAAAGTATAATATATTAGTTGAGATAGAACAAATATGAGCTAATGATAATAATGGCCTTCTTTGTAACATTGCAATTAGTGACTTGTTTGAGGCGGTTATAACCCCCATGGAACGTCCACCATTTGTTGATGGCAGTTCGATAAACTTCAGTGTCCTTTTGTAATTAACTTACAATGGCAGTCCATATGCAAAGTTATTTACTGGAAGGTTATGTTGATCAAATCAACTCCTGTGATTATATTCTTCCCAACCCACATTATTTTCCTTTAAATTGCTCTTCTACCATGAATATTACTAAATTTAATCATATTCCTCTCCCTTATGCTTCTTCTGATTCTTTCTCTTAGCAATATTACCCCACCCTGTTTTCCCTTATTTTGTGCTGAATGTTTAACAAATTGAAAAGAAATGGATTTCTTTGCTTAGCTGTGCTTGCATTATTTCCTTTGTGGCTCCCTATGACCCCCATGTTTGTAATAATAGAGAATTGATTGCTTTAATTTTAAGATCGATTTCTGTTTATATCATCCATTGCGACTCCCTTGTGACCCCCATCCCGGCCCAAAATTTTAAAAATTAAATAAAAAGTAGTAAGTTGTGGTTATTCAGCACTAGAAACCCCATGGGACTCCTGTATTTCTCTGAACTAAAGGCAAATGATTTGAGGTTTTATATTTACTCTGTTGACTGGCAGTAGCTTGAAAGTGTCATTGCCTAAGACCCCAATAATTTTCCTATGGCTGTAGATGTTACTATGGGGGATGTGAGGGAGAAGGATGACCTCTCAACTGCCACGGGCAATTAATTGTTTCTGATGATATAACCCTGCTACAGGCAAAACAATCTTCCTATCAGCGAACACTGACTGTTTTAACTAGAGTGAAGAGTTTTTTATGCGAGAATGGTCTTGTTTCACCAGGTATAATTTCAATTCTTTTGCTTTCATGCATTCTGCATCAAGCAGTTGGCACATCTTTTGATATGGATGACTTTTTTGCTTATGCGTGAATAAAAGGCAAATTAACATCTTAGCCTTTTCTACCCAGGGTCCCTTCGGGTAATGCTTGTCTGCGGCTCTGATTTATTGGAGTCATTTGCCACTCCTGGTGTTTGGATACCAGAACAGGTATTTTCTGAGGCAAGTTACAATTTAACTGAAATAGAGTGCAAGGCTACACTCTCGAATTTGATGTATTAGGAATTTAGGATCAGTGTGTGTTTCAGACAAGTATATAACCTTTTAGGCTTCAGCTATTGTGAATTTGTGACAAGAGTTGATTTGGCTATGCTGACATGATTTTTGATTTCCAGGTCCAGGCCCTATGTAGAGACTTCGGCGTGGCTTGTAAATGATTTGGCTATGCTGACATGATTTTTGATTTCCAGGTCCAGGCCCTATGTAGAGACTTCGGCGTGGCTTGTATTAGCAGAGAAGGGAAAGATGTTGAAAAAATTATACTAAGCAATGACATACTGAATGAGAACAAGGTATGTAGAACTTTGGACTTGTAGGTTGAACTATCAGATTTTGCGAAAGCCCTAGTAGGAATCACAGCTCCCTATTTGGCTATTTCTATCGTCTATTTGTGTTGTTAAATAAGGTTTTTGTATTCATGAGCTTTTTTTTTTATTTTTTTTATTCCTTTTTTAAATATTTTTTCTGCAGAATAATATTAAGATTGTGGATGAACTCATCTCAAACCAAATCAGCTCAACTCGAATAAGGTGAGATACTCACTGTCTCTCTGATTCATGGTCACTGATTTATGAAAGACATTCATAACTGAGGATTCAGTATCTTATGTTTGTCATGTTTTTAGGGACTGCATCGCAAGAGGGTTGTCCGTGAAGTACCTAACAGCTGATGAAGTGATAGATTATATACGAAAACATAACCTTTATCTACATTAATGACTACAAGTCTGCAAAGAACCAGAAAGGAGGAAATGTAGTGGGCATGTGCAAATGGAACTACCAACTTTCCCTCCCTCTCATGGTTGCGAACCTGTTCTACATGTAGCCGGACTTTGATTATAAACCACAAAGCAATATATTATTCTACCATCTTAATTTTAGGTAACATTCTATAACATGAATTGATGGTTTTCTGTTACTACCAAGTTAAATATAGAATGCTCTCTCTGGCCTTGTTATATGCTGTTTATTGTTAAACAAAAGTCTTGCATTATCGATTTATCGGTGATGCAACAAAGGAAAAAAACATGTAAGAGCACCTTAGAAAATTATGGCATTGTACATAAACAAATAGCGACATTTTAACCAAGCATTTGAGATTTGTCTCCCATAGATATAGTAAGATATCAATCCTCTCCTAGTTACCTTCCCTTTACCGTTTTCTTACTTGTAATGACCACATGGGCTACAGAAATACTGATCGGTGTGAGGTGGCTCAGATGGACCGACTCCTTCACTTTCACTTGCTTCACCAATTCCAAGAGCCAAACTTGGGCCAATACTATCACCAACAGGATATGTGTACAAGCCTTGACTTGTACTTATTGGTCCACAGTCTGTGCCAGATGAAGTACTAAACATAGCAGATTGAGGATGAACCCCAACAAAAGAGGGCAAGCCATTAGTGGCAAAAGCAATGTTCTCAAAACCGCTCCTAGGGACTGGTGGATACAGCTCGTTCTCTCGGTACTTTTGGAGGTATATATATAGCAGCTCAACATAGTGATCAAGCCCAAGCCTAGACATTGCCACAATAACATCTTCAGCTGTTATAGTCTTGCGGTGTTCCTGTTGACATTTCTCATTAGCCTCACTGGTGATGAAGCTGATGAACTCTGAAACACATTCCTGCAGCATCACTTTGGCCCCGTCAGCCACCTTTGCATTGCTGGGAAGGACTTGCCTTATGATCCGGACCAAATTTGCAATTGGCATGTAATGATCTTGTTCACGAAATGGCATTACTGGGGCCTTAAACTTGGGAATTTTGGTCCCATGATTGGTGTGTAGGTCAGGATTCATGTTGTTGCAAATGTTACCCTGGTTTTGATGATTCTGTTCAGTTTGGTTTAGCATTGAGCTTTGGTTGCTGTTGGTCATCCTTACACCGTGTCCACCGATATCACCTATCAATGGCATTGTACCTGAAAAATATGACAAGTTAAAGCGAAGTAAACGAACAAGCATCATAGATCAAGTCCTTAATGAAGCAGTGAAGCTTTAATTTATTTATTTATTTATTTTTTTTTTTTTTTGGAGACAGTTGCTCACAAAATTTGGACATGTATGTCTCTCTTTGGTAGCAATTGAATGGTATAGCATTTTAAGGTTATAAAATAAACTTGGTATTGTGTTGTTAGATATTGACAACTGATATACCATTAATAGAATGCTAGTAGCACCCAAAAATAATAGTCTTAATAAAAATTCTATCAATATTTTACATAGACAAACAATAGTAATATTAATGTTTTAAGTTTTTAACATGTTACTATGTACCTAGCATCATTTTAAATTACCACCCTTGCGAAAATCAACTACTTGTAGATCGAAATATCAAATGGAGTGTTTGGTTGGGAGGAGGAAACAGACTTAGGTACAAACTGAGTAACAAATATGAGTAAATAGGATGAAAGATATACATTGTCTTTTTTGATATAAAGAGAGTCAATGAGTCACGAAAGATTATAATAATATAGACTTGAAAACACATCTCAACTTTTAAATTGAAGAATTATATACTTTGTAAAAAACATACGTTTCGATATAATCTTACATGTAAACACATTAAATTACATTAAAGTATAGCTAAAAAGTACGTTACGAGTGTGTGTTTGTCGGGAAAAAAGAAAGCAAGTGACCAAACTTAGCTCTAAGGGCATAAAAACAAGGGCATCCAAAAATTTGAAATACGCATACATATTTATTGGTCTAAAGTCACGTTTCAAACATGTTATCTCTCTTTTTTTTTAACGCACATGTTTTCTCTCCTTACAAAGTTTTTTAACCAATTAATTACTTGTAGAAGTTGATACAAATTATAATAATAATGTTTTTAAAAATAACAATGTAACGTCGTTATAAAGTTATAAATGAGAGTAGAAGAAAAACCAAAGATAAGGGTGATAAAAAAATCATGATAGCTTAACTTTTAAATGCAACCCCCACCATAAAAAGGTGAAAATGTTGTGTGAGTGATATAAAACATGTTTTTTAAAATGTCACGATATTCAAATTGCTAGAAGAGATTAACTTAATTAAAATACTAAAGTGAAGGTTTTTTTTTTTTTTTTTTTTTTGTGAGTTCATGTATCAGTGAATGTAATTGATAATAAAAAAACTTCGCATATGTAAAAAAAAAAAATAATAATAATAAATTTTTTGGAGATAAATACATGATATGTAAGAAAAACAAACATGTGCTCTCTCAGGAAAAAGAAATTTTATTCAAGGAAAGATTGATTTACCAAGTGGTGCTACAAAATGAGGAGCATTTGTCTGGTCCATGTGTTGGTCATGGCTCCAATTCTCTTCAACATTAGGTTGAGAATTTGGATTTTCAATAAATGATGAAAATAATATAGGTTTAGCAATTGCTGGCATTGGTTGATTATTGGAATTTTCCTCTTGCATCTCTCTAAATTACCTTCTTACTCTTTCAATTTTCTACACCCAAAACCCAATGCTTTCTACAAAAGTTTTTTCTCTCTCTTTGAATAACAAAAACCTGTAATATTTTGCATACACATTTATAGATGGTGAGAAATGAACTTTAACTAACAAACAATTGGTGTCTTTAAAAAAAATCAATTATATCACGGAGTATATAAAAAACATACGAAGTGCACCATGATATTGTGACTTAGTAGTTGAGTACTTCCGTAGTACGTATTATAAATCTTAGGTATTAAGATTAAATTTGAGGTCACATTTATAACTTGATGTTGCATAAGCTTTGTTTACATGTGAATACAAATCCATTGGTGTAAATCACGTAACGCTCATCAGCTTATTTACAAGCAAGCTCACTTTGGTGGTTAAATTATACTTTGATAATTAGGAATAATTGTTAATTGGTGTTGTTTTAAGCATGATTACTTGAGTTTTTTTTTTTTTTTTTTTGAAATAGATTACTTGAGTATTTAATACAAAGTATATAAATTATTGATTGACCAGTTCTGAGGAAAGGCTAGAAGTGTGATTGTGCAATAATACAAATATGAAACTGATTTATCCGTTGTAAATCCAAGCAAATGGCCCAATGTGCTTTGTTCAAGTTTTGGGCCAACCCAATTAGTGAATCATTGAACAATAATGGGCCAATCCTTGGGCCAACCCAATTAGTGAATTATTGAACAGTGATGGGCCAATCCTTGGGCCCAACACAATTACTGGTTTGTTTTTGCTGAGCTTGCATATGATTTGTTTTTCTAACTTCGCAAATCTCATGCTTAATTGGTTTTCCTCACTTGCCAAAGTATGTTAATACAGTACTCCTTTTTGAGCATTTATTCCTCACATAATAAAGAGAAAGAGACATTGTATTAAGGGTTGAAAATCAAAAGACAATTACCAGATAATTTGATACGTGTAAATTTTTGTATTGAACTCTTGTTATTAATAATTTTTAAGATATTTTTTATGACATAATAAAGATAAGTAGTACTCTATATCTATAAACTTCTATGACATTATATAAAGCACATTTTTTTGGTGTTTAGAGATGCACAAGGGCGGGGATAAGAATCGATCTCAGGATCTCATGGAATTGGAAATGAAGTTCTAACCAATTGCCTCACTCTCATAATAAATAAAGCATGTTAATGTCAATTTTAATTAATTTTTTTTTTAAAAAAAATGCTTGTCACTATTTTTGAGTAAATTATAGATTTAACATACTCCTTGATTAGTTTGTTTTCCACGTAGCCAAAGCCTTACATACAGTCTCCTTGAGAAAGTCAAGTAAGATTTTCCACAAACAAGACAGTTGCAACGAAATTTCTTCGCGTCTAATTCCATGTGATCATGTAAGGTGTGAATTTGAAAAGTATTGCAAGACTTTAATGGAGTACAAAATATCTTGATTAAATTAACATATAATTGAGTCCCACTCTCTTCACTTTTTTGGCCTTGCATGACTTTAGTTTGTAGCTTTGTGCATACATGAATATCATGATCAATTGTCCTTTAATTCCGGTTTTTTATAACTACCATTAATTTGAAGGGAAATATTCTGAATTGTCATGGTTTCTCCTCTTTTGAATGCTTTTTGAACAAATTAAATGGTTTTCTTATTATCTAACATTATTGATATTTTTGCTTGTTGCAATGTTACCTCGTTTTATATAATTTGGATGTTCTTTTTTCTTGAGTTAGTGTTGTTGCTTGTTTGAGGATTAAGTGTACATAGAGCCGTTAGAGGTATGTAGACCAAGTGTATAAAAGACGGCATAAATTCACCATGATGCACAAATGGTGAAAACTAACACGGCGAGCCAGGAAATGACGTTATAATCAGTTAATCATGTGCTACCTCTGTTACAGGTTATGTGCAACGATTTGACATTAAGCAGAGAGCGAAAATGTGTAATCGTTGCACATGACCTGTAAAAGAGGTAGTATTTGAGTACTTGTACTACATATTAATCTAATTAAAAGAGTGAAATCACTAGCAGAAAGCATCAATTAAGCAGCAGCAATTAGCAAACATTTTGAAATCTTCAAATTCTTGATTAACAACAAGAAACCAAAATTTCAAGTACCAAAATCTAATCCAAGTTCAAGGAAGTAGCAGGCCATCCGTGACAGGTGTGTATAAAAGCTTAGCACTTAAGCCAGCAATAAATTTGTTTTTGATATTTTTTTTCTGTTACAAGTGATAGTCTAATGCAGAAGGAATTCCCTTTCAAAGGTGGGTCCATATTCCATACGAGTACTTATCATCTTAGCATAGTGCTATAATGGACTAGTTCTTGATGTAAACACTTGGAATTTGCTGTCAATTTGCTAACACTTCTTTTTTTTGTGGTTCTAATTGTATAAGCCAAAAGCCCTAATCACCACTTTATAAATGAATATCAAACCACACTTGACAAAATGATTTTGTTTGAACAACTAAAGCATGTTCGTTATTGTTGAATATTTTGTTTTTTTTCAAAAAATTAAACTATTTAATTTGAATACTGAATATTAGTTCCCGGCTTTTTATTATCAGTTTTCAAAATATAGAATCTCACAGCCTCATAAACCAAACTAATTACAATAGCAATTTCTTCATGATTTTTCAGAAAATGACTCCCTCCCGACTTTATTGCTTTACTGTATTTCTTAGCAATTTCAATTTCATGCCATTTGGCTTACTTTTAATCTACACAAAAGCCATGTAGCATACAAACTCACAAAAGAAAATCTGCTTAGGATACACGCAGCGTAAACCAGACTCAGAATCTGAAATCTGAACAAGAGTTATATAGCTTCCACCTGAAGACGATATTACCTGCACCGGATGCACCTTTAAAATATTTGCTGCTTAAAAATACAAGTACCATACTATCTCATAATCGTAGTCATACATAATAAGAAAGAATTATGAACGAACTAACAACAGTTGAACAAGATGAAACTTCGATTTATGTAATATGCATTAGTAACTAGTAATAATGTTTTGATTCATGTAAAGCAGGATAGATAATAGATACATGGATTCGAAGTGAGATTCCTAAAAGTAGTGAATCATATAGGTGCTGCTACAACAGCAGATAAATGAACAAAACCTCCATGTGAAATGTCGACAACAAAAACCTCGCATTATCCTTGAAGGAAAAGGAAAACAAAACTTGACTGGAAATGGCATGAAGCCATCAACCATAAGGTTTAAACAGCAAGTGGTAAATGGAATTAACCATGGGTGTTGACAGCTTCCCATAGCAAGTTCTTAGGCATCGGATTGGAGAGATCTCGAGCTTGAAGAGCTGCATCCCTAAGGGTCTTAAGGGTCGAAACATTAGCCTCCCAGAAAGACAGACTCCTGTAAGGCAAATTGTGCTTCTTGCAAAGATCCTTCACCACAGGGGCAACCTTTCTGAGGTTGCAACGAGGCAAACGAGGGAACAAATGATGCTCGAGTTGGAATTGTAGTCCACCAAACAACCAATCCATCCAAGACGCGCAAGCAATGTCAATCGATCCAAACGTCTGTTTCTCAAACCAATCATTCCCATGAGGCTGTCCAACATACACATTGGCAGAGAAATGGTTCAAAGTAAACTGAATGTGCTGAAAAGCCGTGACCACGAAGCTGGCGAGCACGAACATGAACCTCTCTTCCCAACTAGGCAAGCAGGAAACAAGAAGAGGATACCAAGTCCAAAACACCATAATCCCCATTATGTTCAAACCCCTATTGATCACCTTCCTGTTAGGGTTAAACAACAGCAAAAGGGTCTGCACATACAAATTAATCCTAGCAACAACCATCACAGGATAATATGTCATATGCTGATAACTCACAAGAAACCTTGCAACCGGATCAAAATCCATCTTCCTTCCATAGAAAACAGAGGTCATATTATTGAAGAACTTGGTTGACACCGCGAAAACCGGTATGTGTTGCAGATCTGGGTCATGATCTAAGCTATTACAGGCAATGTGGTGTGCATTATGAGTCCATTTCCACCAAGCCATACTAATCCCAGTCAAACAATTCCCAGTCAAAATCTGAGCAACCTTATTATACTTAGGACTTGACATAATCTGATAATGCCCAGAATCATGCCCTAAATAAGCACTCTGAATCCAAGCCATACCCATCAATGCACCACAACCCAGATGCACAAGCACATTATCAGACCAAATCACACCATAAACACATAGACTTAACATTATAAAAATTGAAATAAAGATATAAATTACAGCATGCCCTTTCTTCTCAAATAAACCCATTTTAGTAAATTCATTATGAAGCTTTCTGTAATCCTTTGACATATCTGTAACCTCAAAATCCTTCAAATAATACCCATTAAAAAATTGATCAAGTTTATTCCATGTAGTACCTGGGTGATATGCTATGAATGCATCTGTAACATCATTACCAGCAAGTGCTAACAATGGTATATCTCCACCTGGATGATCTTTCGCCCAATTTGTAACATCATAAACTTTCCCTTGAATTGAAATCCATAGATCTCCTGCTTTGTTGTGATTCTTCAGTTCATCAGATGTGATGTATTTCTTTGCTTCCACCATTGTTAAACAAACAATGCAAGATCAAATCTTTCTCAGTTTTTCACCCTACCCAGATAAGATTACAGATTTTCACGAATTTGAGGATGTGGGTATTGCACAACTTTATCAAATTAACCAAAATAGAGCAACCCCATTAAACGGGTTGGTTTTATTATGATTAAATTTGAATTTATTTCTATTTTTTTGGGGATTATTAAAGAGATATTTTCTGGGTTTACAATGAGAGGGGAAGAAGATGAGGATGTGAGCGGAGCAGCGAGGCAGAAGGAAGAGGAAAGGGTTGGAGTTAGCCTGTGAGTAGGAGTATATACCGTTTTAAAAAGGGATTTATTTATTTATTTATGGTGGAAATATATCAAAAATATTTAAAATAATTAAAAAATAATAATGAGCTGTAAAAAAAAAAAATTAAAAAAAATGGTATGAATGTGAAAGGAGTTGGCAAAAGCCAAAAGAAGAGATTATGAGTCACGAAGTAATGACCACAGAAAAAGGACAAGAATAATGCAAAGAATGGATGGTTGGTTTCTAAGGATTTTGAAAAGGTGTGGACTCAGTATAACGTTTTTGTTGATATTTTCTTGGCCTACTTAGATTGATTTCGGGTTGTCTTCTTCTATTATTCGAGGAACCTACATACCTACCTAGCTTAACGAGTCTTAACTGCCTTGCCTTATCATGGAGAAAACAAATACTCCATGGAAAACAAGCCAGCCTTACAAAATTACAATCCATCGAGTAATTTGTGTGATACAGAGTAGTTTGTTAAATTTAAAGTTTGTGTTTTCCTTTTATCTCACGGAGTAAACAGAATCGTTGAAGGTGCATTAACAAAATTAGTTTTATGACTAAAGTGTGTTTTATTTATTTGATTTTCACTCATGTGATCTAATCATCTAATATGAATTTATTATACATAATTAGAATTATTTTTAGCAATATCATATTATATCTTAACTTTTAAAAAATAAAAATAAAAATTATATCTTATTTATCTGATTATTTTAACTGAGCTTACGTGAATTGAATATTTATGAGAGAAAGAAATTAAAAACTGAACTAAAAATAAGATGAGAGAATAGACTCTTACTAGAAATTAATATGTAGTAGGATTTATTTTAACGGTTAATAATATTAATTGAAACCAAGTAGCCCTTATTTACAACAAAGTATTACTTCGTATTTGAAGTTATCTTATCTCAATTTATCTAATACGGAGTATAATATATATTTCAATCAAATTTTATTTTTTTTTGACAACAATCAATATTACCTTAAAAGTCATTGGTAAAATTTGCTTGGTAATTGCATGTGTCAATGTGTGATGTGTAATTAAATCGTTAACCAAGTGTAGTCAATCTGATTATAATTGGACTATAATTATGATCAAGATTCGTTGTTGAATTCTTATATGGTTCTCAAAAGTTAATTTTCTTGCTAAATGACTATGAATAATATGACCGGATTGTTTGAAAATGAAACTCCGTAATTTAACATGATTGAGGTTAAAATAATAAAAAGGGGAGAAATGAAAACAATGAAATGACAGCAAGAAAAAGAAGCATATAAAAAAAAAAGTAAACAAAGACAAAAAGGGAGAACGTGCGTGTCGTGCAAAGAGAGTAATATTCCCACATTCTACAACGTCACTGCCTCTCACCTGTCGACTAATTTAGATATTTTCATGAAAATGTTAAAGCCTTGACTCTATCTATTCTAGACGCTCCTTCATTAGCGCGTCTCTCATTAGTAATCACCTGACCTTTAATTAATCAATTTAATACAGTAGTTTATTTGTTTGATATGACCAATGATTTAAAATACAGTAGGTTGAGATCATACTGTATCAATCTATAATTTAAAATACCAATGAATAAAATGTTTTTTTTTATTTTTCTTTTCATTAACTCATTGTTATCATTTGAAGGTTAAGATCACATCATATCATATCAATTGATAACTTAAAACATCAATGAATTAAATGGTTTTTTTCCATTGACTCATTGTTATCATTTGAAGGTTAAGATCATATCAACAGATCAATAGTTTTTAAACACCAATAGTTTACATGTTTTTTTTATCAATTAGATCATTTTTGGCATTTAGAGGTTAAGGTCATATCAATTGATAACATCAATGATTTTAAGGTTTTATTATTTTCTTGCCTTGTTCATTTGAAGTTACTACGAGTATTTGTTTAGTTAAAACATCAATTCTTATATAAACTTGGGTATATTCTAGATTGTTTTTAATTTTGTAGCTAGCTAACTTGGCATATTGTTGGCTTTTCCCTTAAATTAAAAAACTTGGAAAGTGTCACATTCAAAATGTAAGTCAGAGCTCAAATTCGTGTATGCGTGAGAAGTTGAGAACCGTACCAGGTCATGCATGGCTTTGGAGGATATATAGTTGCACAAGCCATGCATTCCTTTTGAATTATATACAAAGTATGTAATGCAAATACTATATCCGTTAAATATTATGTGCAACTTTTGACTATTATTTGTAAGGTATAAATATTTCAAAATTGCACATAATATTTAACGGAAGTAGTATAATATTTTTATTTTTTTACTTGTTTTTATGTATACAAGTATATGTTTGCAAGTACCACATTATTGTACTATGTTAATATGTAATACTATTGTGGATTTGTGGGGGAGATATCAATGCCTCATGCTGTCATGCATGAGTTATATACTTGTATATAAGTACTACTTAATTATGCATGATATATTCTTGTTAATTATGGTGTTAAATTAAATTAAATTTGTTGGACTCTAATTTTTCTTTAATAAAATTTAATTTTTTACTTAATTGGGAATAACATATTAACAGATGATAACATGATTAATATACTCCATATCGATTGGGCTGGTAAAAAAAAAAATTAAGTAGTACTTATATACCTTAAGACTTATCTGCCAATTAAGTAGTACTTTAATTTAAAGGGCTTAAACTTATCAATAGTCTTACGTTACTCATAAATTCATAGCACGAATAACAATTTTGAGTGCCACTTGGGCGGCAAGTACAAAAATTCAAATTTAATACCTTAAGACTTAAGTATTATACAAGTATGCACATTGCACAACTAATATAAAATATTCTTACAGTAATAACATTGAGTTACTAATAAAATATACATAAACTAAAGCATTGAATAATTGGGTTGAGTGTGTTTATGGTCGTACAAAGTGGTTGGTTGTTATAAAGTTCTTCGTTCAAGTCGTAATCTTACTTCATTGCTGTTTATTTGATGTATTTATTTCTTAATCTGTCATACTCTATTATTTAAATTTGAGATGGTTAAGATGAAGATTATAGGCTAGCAAATAGTATGTGATATCATTGATACATGTACTTCTTCAAAACTCTTTCCATATATATGAAGCAGGCCAGGGTGCATCACCATTAATAAAATGGTTACAATTTGGTAAATAATTTAAATGTCGTTTGGTCCAGCTGGGCAATAACAATATAATGCAATAACTCAAGGTCGTCTAGAACCTATTATCTACAACTTATTTAGAAATTCTTCCATATTCCCCATTAAAACGTTAAAATAATTTGCGCACGCTACTTTGACCAATGTTTATGGTAACTATATATGAAGTACATAAGATCAAACATAGTTACAAAAACACTTGTTATTAAAGTCCTACCAGAGAGGTTAATACTTTACACTAAATATTTTAAATTATCTATTAATGTGGATTTCATCTTTAAAAAGTCTTTATTAAGGCAACTCTAATCAAGTCTCATTTGAGAGTGTTTTAGTGTAAATCGCGTGTGAGCACCTAATTATAGATTTATAGATGACAATGAGTTGCGGGTTTAGGGTGTGTCATGTGACTCATGTCAAAAATCAACAATCCAAAAAAAAAAACAGAAAAAGAAAAAGAAAAAGAAAAAAAAAAAGAAAAAGAAAAAAGAAAAAAGGTATACTCCTTAAGAACTTGTATGAATGGGCTTTATTTCAGTGGTGCATTCTGCATTTCTACCCATTATAAATGCTTTAACTTCTTTAGCTGAGCCCAGTTACAAAAAGTCCATACTCACTGCTAATTAGCTTTTCAGAACTGATGAAGTGGTCAAACAAAGCCCAAACTTTAAAATGTTCATGAGTATTTGTTTTTCTACCCTAAATAAAGCGTGTTCTGATTTACTAAACTGAATAGATTGGAATTGAATTGAATGAATTGGAGCTAAGTTAAATTGAATTGAACTGAGCTGAACTGATTGTTTATGAGATAAGGAAATTAAAAACTGAGTTGAACTGAACTGAACTGAACTAAAATGATTGAAGCTGAACTAAATTGAAATTAAGCTGAAAATAACAAACTCTTTTTTTTTTTTTGACAAATCTTTTTGTTACCATATAACCCCATATTTTTATTAATACCTTCTCATATTTGCTCGTTTATTTTGCATTTTTCTTACTCACCAACTTTTTACTTTTTTGTTCTTACTTTCTCCACTTCTTCCTTTTTTTTCCCTCCCTTCTTAGATTTACTCTACTTTTCATAAAAAATTTTACATAGTAGTTTAATCTACATTAAGCAAGTAGAACAAATAAAATGAGGATTCTATAATTTAACCATTAATTAAGCTCGACCTCCACTTCTAGATTATTTTTATTTGCATTGGTTCTTAATAAACCAAAAGTTTGTATTGGCTTCTAATTAGCCATGATTCTCCTCTCTATATCTAGATAATATACTAAAAGTATATTTCATCATTATTGCTAGTCATAATTCATACAACTTTACATTGATGAGACCACTTCTAATTAGTAATCTAGACTTGACTATCTTTCCATTCATGCAAACGATGGGCCCTTTAACACATGCTTCCTCAGAATTCTTCCTTTAAAACATTAGACATACTAACATTTTTGCCAGAAGGCCCAGTTTATTTTCTTTGCCAATTGTGACAACCTGGATATTATTATTTTAAATATTTTTTTATGTATAAATATTTCCTCCTTTAGCACATTACCATAATCTAATTGAAGAAAATAAGATGAGCTAACAACGTCATTTCTCAACTAAACATGTTGCATATAAGGTGGTACCATCTTTGTTTTCTTTCCATTTCTTTATTTCCCTTCCCCCAATTTTATTGCTTGGATTATTTTAGACAAAAACCCCTTTATAATGTCCATAATTCCAACATAATCATCTCTTAAATCTCGGTTTTCTAATCTATCACTTTGAAAAACATAATCCCCTCATCAATAAATACAAAATACATACTATAAGAAAATCACACTATGCATAACGATCGTAAAGATAGACAAAAAGTTTCAGACTTACAAATATACTTAAGGATAATTATAAAGAAAATCAATAAAATTGGATGATTTTGTCATTCTCTAAATCTACGAAGAGTTTATATTATCACAACTCCCGATAATCTCTCTAGGGTCTTTCAATACATGTCAACTCCAAAGCCAGGAAATGACAAAATCTATGTCTTTCAATAATCAATAAATATATTTCATGGAACATTCTGAAACTGTACCTCTCCTTGAATTTGTGGTCCTTCATTGATACTTCTAATTAATACTCCAAAATTCCACCAATTCAAGCATAACATAAATCTCTTACTCCATAAACCTGTATTTTTCTCCTTAAACACTCAACTCTTACTACTAATTTAAACAGCATGGAAACTTCACACCCTCTAGCAACAGAGAGCTTCTCATACAGTTGGTTAGCAACAGAATCAGAACTACACAAAACCATCTCAAACAACATATCAGAAACTTCTCACAACTTTGATTTCGACATTTCAATCTCGAAAACTAGTCCCTCTTCACTTGTTCATGCTGATAAACTCTTCTCAAATGGCCTCATCCTGCCTCAGTCCCTCGACGAGTCAGGGGACAATAACTATTATGCTTCAACACCATCACCATTGCTTATCAGTTCTACAATTCATCATCATCATCATCATCCATCTTCGTCGTCGTTTCGAAGAATGTTCATGGGAAAATGGAGTAAATTTGTGCCTAGGAAAATAATCAGCAAGTACATAAAATGCTTGATTCCTAGGAGAGAAACAATAGGCAGAGGTGGAACAAGAGTTGATGATGTGAATAGGATAACTTGGGAAGTAAAAAGTTGGACTACTAATAATACTCCAGTTGTTTCTTCTCCTATGAGAGATAATTCAGCAGCTTATTGTTCAGCAGCAACAGCTTGGAGTGATATTGATGAGAGCTCCATTCGTGATGCTATTCTCTACTGTAAAAGATCTAGTACTGGTTTATGTAATTAGTCTTAGTTAATTAAGGTTTTCATTTGTTTTTAATTTGTTTAAGCATGTACAAATGTTTTGTATTTTTGTCCAGTGATCTTTAGATGATGAATATTTTTCCCAATTTTGGATTTTTATTGTAGTTGTTCTGTTGTGTTAAGTTTGATCATGCTAGGCTTTGAATGTATAGGGCTACCTACGTGCGGGTGTGACAAGTACTTCAATTTGGTTAGTTTACGGTTTTTGACTCTAAGGCTTTAAGGTTATAAGTTCAAATGTTATATAAGGAGTTTTTGAGAGTTGGGGTATCATATATCCTTTATTCATAATTAATGGCATGACATGTTATTTCATACGAATTAGGCCTAAAAGGAGTGTATTCTAATCGAATCATCTATCTTATGACAATATAACTCATAATCAATTAATTTTCAATTCCTATCTATTCTTAGGGTAAGGCCTCTTCACTCAATTAATTATCAAAAAAAATTAATTATTTAATTAACTATAGAACTTGCAAGACTTAGTACGAACTCGTGTATTAATTCTTGAAGAATTGTTCTTGAGAAAGAGGTTTAAAGTTGAAGGGCCCAGAAAGAGTGGTTTGTCTAGTATAATAGGAAATGCAGATTTTGATTTGGTAAGTAATATTGCAACTTTTGATTTGGTCGGTCCACCACTCGAGCGCGCACTCTCATTAGAAGACACCTTTTTGTTTGTACAGTAGGCGCTTGTAATTTAGCTAGTTTAACCATACCCATTATGTTGGGCCTATGTCTATCTTCCAAATTATGGGAATCATTATTTCTACTACTACAATGACATACTTATTAGAATCGTTTCAATGTATTTTTAAATAATAATATTTTATAAATTATTTTTAATATTTATTTAAGATTGCATTGATAAGTATGTCGTTTAAATTAAAATATTTATTTATATTTTAATATAGAGGGAGTATTACATATTCTTAATGTTGAGGGGGCATTTTTCAACTCTACTTACAAAGAGGATAAGGATTACCTAATTTCTTTTCTTCATATACACTTTCATTTTCAATATATTTACAAAGTATCATTTTTTTTAAAATGATCTCACATAGAAGTATTGTTCTAACATTGATTGGATGAAGCAAAGATACATGTAAAGGAACAAGACATCCACTTAAAAAAGTCATGACATGTGTCCTAATAGTAATTAAAATTACTATTAACATTTAAGTTATTATATGAATATGTCTAATAAACTCCATCTTGTTAGGAGTAAAATAATGAGTTTAGCTTTCCAAATGAGTATCGTAGAGTAATTAATTTGTCTTTCCTAAACAAGATGGTCAAGAAAGTCAACCACTATATTAAGTTTGTAAAACCAACAAACCATTAAGAAACTTCCATGGTACTAAAAAATACATGGCCAAAGTGTAGTAGGTTAGCTTATTAGGTTACATTTATAGCCTCAATTAATAATTAGATGAAACAAAGAAGTAGTATTATATGGTCTCGTGTTTTTCTTGTGTTTAGTTTTTTATTTTTAGTTGTCTCTCTCTTTGATGGTTACTCGGTATAAATGATGGTGTAACAACAAGTTAACTCCATTAGAGCCAATTAGGACTGGAAGAGAGAGATTGTGTGGGTGTAATAGCCAACATCTTAGCTTGGACACAACCTAATTTTATGTCCCCTAGCTAAGATCTTTGGTTTTTCTGTCCCTACTTGCTATTAACAACAGGCAACAAGGATAAGGAGTATTATTTCAGATATATATCTTCTTTGCTGATTAATATATTATGTATGATATAACAATAGTTAATAACTATTACCTTTTAAAAACATAGCATAAGAGATAAGACACCAAGAAATAAAATCGAATTTCATATACATACTTCAATCTTTATGTCTTTTTGTACAATACACTTAAAAAAAAAAGTATTTAAGTGTTTTTAAATATCTACTCGTATATATTAGTTACGTACAAAGTATAATGTTTTTACTTATGTCAAAGTACTATGTTTATTTAATTTTTTTTAATCAGAGAAGTATTATTATAAAGTAAATTGATTAAAAGAACACTATATATATGTTGCATTGTCACCACAAAAGTGATGTTATTTGAAGAATAATCTTGATACAATATAGGAGAAGGCAAAAACTTGTATACTTAACATTGGGTGTATGGATGATAATATCAAAGTTAAGTCTCTTTGAAGTCTCAAGCAACACACAACACATAAGAAGTTAACTTACAAAAATTTTAAGTAATTGTTATGTGATTTAAAGGTGATTCCCTATTATGCGTAGTACGTAAGATATATTGACATATTGTAATCTCAATTAAATCAATTACAAACATAGCTTACTTTAACCTTTGAGGCTATGGGTATATATCAATTGCAAATTTATAATATCTCCATATATCGGTAAAAACAGAGATGACTATATATAATCTAAATGCATATGATCATATTGTATTATTAGAGATGATGAAGATTACACGATTAAAATTTAAAACATAGATTGGAAAGAAGAGACGAGATGAAATAGGGGGACCAAGGACAAGGGTGCGTGATCATGTTGGAAAAGGCAAACAAATATCATTGTTACTACCCCATAAAGTAAGGGCATAAAACTGCTATATTTTGGGTTCATTGTGTGCAGTTGACACTGTTGATTTATACCCCTAACTACAGGACTAATTTCTCCATGTACATTGTACTCGTAAAATTATAGGCCATAAATTGAACAAGTTTAAACATCAATAGTATGGCTTCATGTGTTATGGAAAGTCAAATAAATGAATGTCTATTTCACGCGAGGCCCGTTTTAAACGATTTTGCCCAACCTACCCAAGCTTTTGGGACCATCAGCAAGGCATTTTGGTTAATATGCATGGTTTCTTGATGTCGAATTTTACATAAGAGGTTGAAAATGGGCAAACGCTGAAACACTATCCTAGATTGAGAAGATCTAAGTAGTGTTCGAGCCAAATTAAAGTAATTGGTACGGACTACGAAATACAAAGTGTGTTATAGAGCTAAAGTAATTGGTACGGACTATAAAGTATCAAGTATGTAAAAGAGCAAGTAGCTCTTCAAGATAGATGACCGAATTATGTCATAAAATCATATACTAATACTCATTCAATTATTTCTAAATAATCACGTTAAACTACAAATTATAAGTCTCAAAATATAAAAAAACACACCCACACAAAAAAAATGTCAGAAGTGGGATTTGAACCCACGCCCTCTTTCGAAGACCAGAACTTGAGTCTGGCGCCTTAGACCACTCGGCCATCCTGACTTTCTTGTTACATTTCATCACTCTAAATACATATTCCAATTAAACCTCCGCCTAAACTCGCACTCCAGTTGTTTCTTCAATCTTCATTTTACTTCTGACTTCTGCATCAACACCCTCATCACAGCGCTCCAACTCCACCCCTCGATAACAACTCACCGACGCCGCCACAAACTCCGTCAGACCAAGTCAGCTCCGTCGCAATCTGAGAATCACGCCTTCAAGTTTTTGCGGCAGATTTGGTGGTTGATTGCAATGAACCCAATTCAATATCAAGCAATGGGGCATCTTCCTCCTCCTCCTCAACAATGGGGCCCATCAATTCCTCCAAACCCACCTCCTTCTACCACTTTCTGGAACCCCTTGAATGTCCAACACCACTTTAAAGAATTACATCAAACCCTCTCTCTCGCAAATGCACTGTAAGTTTTCCTCTAATTTTCTTCTGATACTGAAAAAGTTGTTATTGTAAGTTTAATTTAATTGGGTCTTTTTTGTCTTTGTTTGTTGGGTTGTTTATGGTAGGCAAAAAGAGCTGGAGATGTTGATGAAGGTTAAGGAAGTAAAAGGGTGTGTGGGAAAAGAGAATGATAATGATGGTGTTGATGGGTCAATTGATAGTTCAAAAATTGATGAATTTTGTAGGTTTTTTGAGGATAATAGGATTGATTTGGGTGCCCAAGAGTTGATTTTAGTGGAGGCTGCAAATGGGTTAATGTCAAAATTGAAATTTCTGCTTGAGCCTCTTAAGTTTGTTACTGATGATGGGACCCCATGGGAGGAGAAATCTGCTGTTGTTAGATTGAGTGATAAGATTAACAAGTCGAAACGCAATAAGTTGTGGAGAAAGAGGAAGAGACGTCGTGTTGCTGAATCACTTGCTAAGGTTGTTTTCTATTGCTCATATCAAGCTATTGACCTGAATTACAAACTTTGGAGTATGTTTATGTTAACTGATTTTGTTAATGGTGTACAGAAGGATGAGCAATTCAAGAAACTTGACCAAGAAGCTGATGAATGGAGGGCTAAAGAAATTGCCAAAGATATGGCACAACAAAAGGTACCATGTGTTGCATTCACTTGCTATATAGAAATGGGACACTTAGTTGTTGGTTCAGGTTATCCTTATGCATGATGTGCTGTTTAATTCTGTAAAAAAAAAGGCCGTAAAATGATAATGGTTCAAATGAACTGACATATGGTGACTGTGATCCTCTAATGACATTCTATGAGGATGGTAAATGATTAGTATTCTGTAGAGAGCTACCTGCCTTTTTCTGGTTTGACAATCTGTGCTTCAGAGTTCAGAATTTTAGATGTAGAACTTGGATTGGATGCATTTTACTTTGCCAATAGTAGAACTAATTACCCTTATGAGACATTTAAATTATTAATACTAGTGAAAATATAAGAATCCGATACCTTGTTTTATAGCTTAGTATACTCGGGCCACTTCAGATAGAGAGAGAATCATAGGGGAGATGGACAAATGATAGCTATTTACAAAGCTGAATTTCTATATATTTTATTGTCAATGGCATGAATCATGATACTGGAGTTTTCCATTTTTCTATCATTTTAAGTCATCCTTGTCTTTGATAAACATACATCAATTACTACCTTCAATCTCTAGTTTTAGCAGGGATAATCTCTGCTTAGATGTATCAAAATAGTTTGCTGATGTCTTAGCTATCTTCCAGTTTCCACCTGCTATATGGTCCTAACATTACCATCTTCACATGTATGGTATTTCTACTTTCCTGTTATAACACCATTTTTGCTCTTGCTGTCGCTTCACTTTTAGAATACCATGCTCTTCTGTTGAACAGTACCAGTTGCTGAGAATACATGATCCCTTTACTTTGTCAGTGGCTAATCCTGCCATATGTTACTTTTTTAATATGCATTCTCTTGAACAGGACTGATTTTACGTTAATCTCATGACTATATGCATTCTCTTGAACAGGACTGATTTTACGTTGATCTCATGACTATATGCATTCTCTTGAACAGGACTGATTTTACGTTAATCTCATGGCTATATGCAGGTAGAGAAGATGAAAGTAATTGCAAAGCAGAAGGCTAAAGAGGAGAGGAAGAAATTGGAAGCTGAGGTGAGATTATGCATGTTTAGATGTATTATGTATAACATGTATTACATACATATTGTTCCTTCTAAAAAAAAAAAAATGCTTTCCCTAATACCATTATTTGTTTAGATTTTCTCTTCTTAGTCTCTAGATATCTTAGAAATATTTACATTGTTTTTAAGGTGAGTTGCTTCTGATACTTTATATGTATTACTGACTTTGATGTCAAGTTATCTTCAGCTAGAACAACCAAGTATTTTTTAGCTTAGATTATAATTTATGTTACCATATTTTCCTTCTTACTATGCCCTAAACATATATTATCTGAAATTTTCACAATATCTTATATTCTGTAATAAGCAAGTTTCTTTCATTTCCTACCCTCTCACCCTCATCCGTATTTTCCCCTCATATAACTGCATTCTTTTCTTGATGTGGCCTTCTCTATTGAGATTTTTTGAAGTCTGACTATACAGAGGGCTGTCTATTTCTTAAAATTATTCATTGAACAAACATGTTCTATGTTTCAGCTTGAGCTGGCATTGATGGTTGAGAAGTTACAAGAACTGCGCTCTGTCAGGATACAGAAGTTGAAAAAACAAGGTATGAATTTTGAATCATTTACTTACGTTGAAGATATAATGACCCTATCAATGTTTTCATAGTAATGTATGCTGATACTATGATGTGAAAATCATGCAGGCCATTTTCTTCCAGAAGAAGATGACAAGTTTCTTGAGAGAGTTCGAGCTGCTGTTGAAGAGGAAGAGCGCCAAGCAAAGGCTGCTGCAGCAACAGGTGCAGCCAAGGATGCTATTGCAGCTGCTGAAGAATCTAGAAAAGTTACTCGGGATAAGAATGAAACCAGTAAGGATGATGGTGAAGAAAGTGAAGAGCAGATAACTCAGAGTAAAAGTGGGCTTGACTCTCTTGCTTCCGCTAGCAAAGAAACTGATAAACAAGGCTCTGATAGACAAAGCCATGGTGCATATGACTATGTGGCTAATTTACCCCCAGAGTTCTATCACTATTATCATGGAAGTAATACTGACATGGGTACTCTGATTGAGGTAATTAACGTAATTTATTTATTTATTTATTTTTTACATATATTCACCCTAGGTTTTATACAGATGTCCTAATCACTCTCTGATGCTTATATGCTATCTCTATATATTTTTGAAGATCGTCTTTATCATAAGCCCTGTAAGCCGAAAATGAGGAGTATGAGCCATCCATGACAAAAAAAAAAAAAAAAAAAGAAAAAAGAAAAAAAAGGAGATAATCTTAAAAGTAATATTTTGATAAACGGGTGCATAGGCAGTATGTTCATAGTCTCTGCAGCTCATAGTCTCTGCAGCCATTGTGATCTTATAAGTGCTGTGCTCATGAAACTGAGTCATGCCAAACAAGTGTGGTGAAACTTGATGTAGCATGTTGTGGATCCCAGATAATGCTTTAGTTACGTATTAGGATAACCACAAGGTTCTTGTACTGCTCTAATGAAACTTGGGGACTTACCGACTTACATACTACTCCTTCATGACCCATGCTTATATTGTGATATGGATTCGTTACAAATAAACTGACTGGGTTAAAGTCTGCCTAGGTGGCTTAATAGAATAATGATTTTTAGACTAAAGATTAGCCATTGATTATACCTCATTTTGCATCTGTTTGACATAGGACTCTTGGAAAAGAGTCTTGTGACAGGATGCAGGGACTTAAGAACTCATTCGAAAGGAGAGTGAGGATAGGGGACTGACTTTAAATTTCCTTAGTCTTAGGGTCTGTTCTCATACGTTGAAATTCAGTTCAGTTCAGTTCAGCTCAGCTCAATTCAGTTCAGCTCCTAATTTCCTTCTCTTATAAAATATTCATTTCAGTTCAGTTCAACTGAGTTCAGTCAATGAGAACAGACCCTTAATCTTTTAGGACAATGTATATTTAGAAGCCCTTCTGGACATCTAGATCTAGCCAGTGATATTGCTAAGCTCTAATATTTCTGTTTGTCCATTTTGTATTGTTGTAGTTATCCAATTTTAGACACAAAGGTCTAATGATCAACGATAGTATTAAAAATTTGTTAACTGTTGGAAATCAATCTGATTCTTGTTGCACTTTGATTTCATTGTAAAGAGCATTTAGGTTATATCTATCATTAGCTTGCTTGTTACTTGCTTTTCTTACTTAAAAAACTTAAAAATTTCTCCATTTTGTGTTTTGACTTATTTTTCCTCTAAAACTTATTTGCAGGTTCGGAGAACATGGGATGCATACATAAGGCCCGGGGGAAGGTGAGAATGTTCTGCACCCTACTATTTGTGGTCCTTTTGTTCTAACTTTGGGGTTTAAATTTTTTGCAAAAAGAGTTGATGTAGTATGATTTGTGAATGATAGGAAAAACACAAGCCTAAGAAAATTATAGCTGTGCTAAAACCTTTTAGGCTTTTAAAAAATTTATAACCATTTGGGAAAGATCATTGAATACAAATTAAAATCTTACTCCATAGAAAAATTTGAGACACGATTGATTAGATCCACTATAAAGAATACATGGTCAAACTATCCTTAGTTCTTGATTCAGCAACTCCTATATCAACTAATATATTATGTGTTTAGTCGTATTCCAGGGCACTGGGTTCAACCACCCCCTCCAGCAGACAAAGTATGGGGATCATATCTTGTGCAGCGTAGATGATACTTCAATAACAATTAATTGGTGTTCCTGTAACTCTATAGAGAAATTGCTGAAATTCAGTTGTGTGCACCCTTAATGAACAGCAAGGTGTTGTGACAGATATCAACAAACAACGATGGAAAAGCAAGAAATATCTCGAGTATAAAGGAGATTCTCTCAAAACTCAAGCACACCACCTCTCTTCTGCCTTCATCCATGGCAAGTGCATGCTCCACAGCTCTCAAAGGATTTGAATTGCTGTGTATTCTATTTTGTCTAGGTGCTCATCCTATTTGATCCACTGCCAAAGTTCTTCGATAGGTTTCATTCCTTGAAAATATAGAGTAACTTATCAGCCAGTTCAGTTTCTATATCTTTGTCTTCTCATTATCTGGAGATTGTTTTCAGCTCCAGATTTGATTCATGTTTGTTTCAGTTCTTGAGTATATGGGATATGGCACAATGTTCCTAAAGAAGTTTGCACAAACTCAGATAGTTCATGCAATTAAGATAAGTTCTCCATAGATAATGCAACGGTAACACGGAAACACACTGTCAGGCTGTCAGCTATACAAGTAATCGGCAGAATCATGAACTTCTTCTGAAGAATGCTCATTTTTTCCTATCTCAGTCAATTCGTCCAGCCCCTATGAAATGTCCAATGCTACACGGACAAGTTAACCAAAAGTCCTTTTTTTTTTTTTTTTAATATATATTTATTTTAAGAAACCAGAAGTCCATATTTGATTATCTTTGTTCAATATCATTTTATGTCCTTTTAAGTATTGTCAATTACTGTACTTGAGAATTAAAATTCATTTTATTGTCTAATATCATTGTCATTCAATTCTTCTCCAGCAATCTCATACTCTTTTTAAGCAAAATCATTTAAAATTTGGTTTAAAAAGACAGATATGTAATACTGGTGAGTGGGAAATTTAGCCGAGGGTTCGAGATGATCCAAATATTAAGCATTTGGGCATCTTATATTTCGGCATTTCATATGCGAAGGTTATAATTTGTGTTAGAGAGGTCTCAATTTCATAGAGTTTCCCACCTCCCTGCTGGGACCTTCGCCATTTTCGTTAATTTATACATATAATTTTATGACAAATTAAAATGATGATTAATTGAGTGACCTCAGAGATCTTGGTGGATAAAAGATCATCAAGTGAAATTCCCGTAGAAATCCCATCAAGAGTAGCAAATATTATCATACATCACCGGCCACCCAATTAATCAATTTCAATCATAGGAGAAATTAAAAAGATTTTGCTTTTTTTTTTTTATTGATAAAATGCATAATGTATCAGGAAAGATGTTATAATCAATTAATTCACAGAAAAATCTGTGAAAAAATATCAGTGGGAATCCGTCTTTAAGAGTCATCATTAAACATTATGCATTCAAATTCAATTTACACTAGTAATAAAAATGTACCTACCTTGTCACCGAAAAATCCTATGCCATCAAAAAAAATTGAATGGAAGAAAAATCGGAGCTAAAGGAAGCCCAGTATACATACATAGTACATATACTGGGTTTTTAAATTTAGCCTATTGATAGATTCATCAAACCACTTATTATAGATCGACGAACTTGCAAACGTAGGCATAATTAATTATAAAATAAAAATGTGTGAAAAAAATGAGACGGAACCGAAACAAAATAAAAACTCGGAACCGGCAATCTGTTTTCGAGAAGTTTTCGAAGGTAAACTTGGATGATGATTGCAATTTATTTAGCAAACCCTCCTATAGGTCCTTCGTTGCAAATTCATTTCTAAATATTTGAAAGAAAAATAAAAAAAAAATGAGAGAGATGCTCAGGGAATACGAACCATAGATTAAATGAGATATCATGTAAAGCTAACTAGAGATTATCAAATGATTTTGTAATCTTTCTCGTCACCGCATCTTCTCATCAGATTGATTGTTGATTGAGAATGAAAAAAGAAATAAGCTACTGAGAGAGCGGCGAGTAGAAACCCTAGCGTAATTGAAGAAGACGATAGTAGATTGGGAGGATTGGTGGGATTTGGAGAAGGTGGTGGTTGTAATATATAGTGCGGACTGCTGATTGGGACTTGGGAGAGTTCAGGTCAGATTACCCTTGGGCTTGTTTTGGCCCATTCACATTCTTCAGCCTTTGACCTTTGGTGATATTGCACTTTTTTTTTTTCTTCCTTTTCTTTATTTGGTTATAAAGAAGTTTACAATGTTAAAGAAAGTTAAACTAAAAATCATCAATTGGATTCACAAGAAACAATTGTAAATTTGAAATACTACGTATGCAATTACTTAGAAATTGCATGTAATTCTTAAGAAATTAATAAACTACACACCTTAAAACTAAATGCATCGTAAATTTGATTAACAATCGCTTTAATAAAAAATTTATATGAAGCAATAGAATATGTGAGTTCGCATTGATTCGGCTTGAAATCCACTGATGCGTTTGTCCTTTGAATGAAAATACTCATGTGTCCTCCGGATGATAAGTTATTTTGTATGGTTTAGGTTATTAAGTTGGTTAAACACTTTGGTTGTTTATAAATTACAATTATTCGTACTTAATAGTGATACTTTTATTTATTTATGAAAGAGTCCAAAAAGAAAGGAGTCTTATCTTATCTCATGGTTGTAAATAATCATTATTATCTTATTGGTAGGAAATCATATTTCTCTCATTTCTTCAATTTTTAAATTATATACACTATAAGTACTAATTCCTACAAGTATTTATTATGAATAAAAATAAATTACATAAACAAAAAAGCATGTAAACAATGTTCCCCTCATCACCAACAACACAAGCAACAACCTTCATTGCCAGTTCCCAAAATCAATCACCAAACTCAACCTTGGATATGCCAATAAATTTCCTAACGATGCTAACAAAACCTAATACTACGTAAAATCATTAAATGTCAAATACAATTCCTTCACGTACAATGTGTTGCCCCCTTGAGGCCTTGATTAGTTAAATGCCCAACAACAACCAATTTTAACAATGACGAAATAGTTGCTTATACTAATTGAAATGTTTAATTGTGCATACTTTCGATCTTAGTCAAGACATTTTGGATTTAATAACTACTATGTATTCTGTTTATCAAAAGTGAATGAGCAAGCTAAGATAAAAACAAAACTAATTCGTTTGGCATCACTGTGGTTTTCTGTTTTTTGGTTTTTTGGTTTTTTGAATCATATGATATATATCATGTAATGAATAAAAAAATTAGTCAAATTTATTAAAATTATGATAATTTTGAAAACTGACAACCAAAAAGTGGAAACAAATTTTTCTTGTTTCCTGTTTTTGGTTTTTAGTTTTAAAAAAAAACAGAAAACAAAAAACATAAGACAATGTCAAACAAGAACTACCGTAAAATTTCCAAAATTTTCAGAAAGTAAAAAATAGGTTAAATAGTTAGAACTCCCCACCCAATTACATACATGTAATCTCGGGATGGAAATGTTCATGTGTGCATCCCACTTGGTAAGCAATTGTCACCCATGGCTTACAATAAGCAGTAACTCGGCAAAGCGAAGACATTATCGTACATCAACAACACAAAAACGTGGTTTCTTAGTTGTTACCCCGGCATTAGTCCATTTCATTAAAACATCAAATTACTATTACTCCCTACCTTTCTCCTCCTACCAGGCTTCCACCACCAAGCCTCAACTTCTTCTCCCAGATCTATAATTCTCTCTCCTCACTCCTTCACACCAATATTCAAACTTCCAGAATTTTCCTGCAATTTTCAGACACATTTCCAATTCAATTTCATTGATTGAAGTCTAATTATGTGGAGTTCGATTGCTAATTTGAAAGAAAACCTAAATAAAATTGCTCTTGATGTTCACGATGGTGACGACGATGAAGATGAACTTTCGATCCATGCTTACGATTCTCCTTACTCTGATCGAAGGCGTTCTCACAGTCTTGCTCATTCCAAATCGCCTTCTAATTCTCCAAATTTGTCGAATGGAAATGATTCTCCTTATGTTTCTGAGGTACTTGAGTTTTGTTCTTCACTTTTGTTTTCGATTGTTTGAGTTTAGTACTGAAATTAGATGTAATTTGATCATAATTATTAGGTTTTTGAGTTGATGACTTTAATTTTTGCTGAATTTTAGTATTATGTTTTGAATTTTGGTTATTTGATAATGTGCATGTAGATTGAGCGGTATAAATCGGAGATTAAGAAGCTTAGGGATTCCGAGGCAGAAATTAAGGCACTATCAGTTAATTATGCTGCTTTGCTGAAAGAAAAAGAGGTCAGTATTTTACCTGCTGAATTCAGGATTGTCAATTGCACTCACCATATGTTGTTCTTTTATTCTCCTATTAAATTTCAATTCCTTGAATTAACACCGAATCCAAATGCATCTCGTGTATTCGATTTTAGCCAATATTCGCAACAGCTGGTGACACGAGAGAAATAGTGTTGATGATAGAGGTTGTATGAGCTCATTTGTAAGTGATTTAGCTTTAGTTTAGAGGTGGAACAGCGAGATTGTAGGTTTTGTTCGGTAGATGATATTAGATGTCATCAGAGTGTTTCTCATTTTGTGCTAGTTATTAAGTTCTATGTTAAGAACTTAGTAATAACCGAATATCAGATGTTGAGTTGATGACTGGCATATATCTGGTTCTTTTTTCCTGCATCATACTCAATGTATGATAGATGTTTAGTAGAATGTTATCCGAGAGGAAGGATATTGGTTTCGCACTTTAGTGTTTTAGAGTGGATCTTGTAAGCTTCTAATTTAGTATGTCTGGCCTAAATGGACCATCCAAATTGCTACGTAACAAACAATTGCAATATCTACCTAACATCTTTCACTCTTGCTGTTCTGTTAATGTTAACTAGCATTTTGGCCAAGAAGGAGTGACCATTGAAATGCATCCATAACTGTTATTAAGTTAGGTGGTATATTAAATACATATAGTGAATTAGGTAATAAGGTAAAAATAAAGGGAGAAAGGGAAGGGGGGACACATTGCACTTATGGTTTGTGTTATTATAGACGATGTGTTTACAATTTTCACTAAGCATACGATTAACTTTTTCATTCATGCACTGATATACCACTCGATTTGGGTCATACACCTATTAGAATAATTGTTTTGGTATGGAAGGGTTATTTGGGAATAAGATGCAAGTCACCTAAAGTACCTTAATTGTTAATTGCAAGATAAGTTTTTTGCAGAATAATGGCCAATGTTATGAGCTACAAATATTAGATATGCTATAAGTTTTTTGCAGAATAATGGCCGATGTTATGAGCTACAAATATTAGATATGCTAGATGCTTTATGTTTGGGGCTCTCGAAAATGGCTTAGAGTGTGCTTTGCTCAAAGACACACAATTATTGGCATTCATGGAATGATCCCTTACATTGAATTTTCTCACTTTTCAAAAAGGCTTTTAGTAATTGGTGCTTAATTTTGTTATTAATAGTAGTTATCCCTGGAGGTATTCTGAGTTCCTGACATGTGAAGATTGCTTTTGATAGAATAAAAGCTGTTTTTTTTTTTACTGGTTTTTGCTGTAAATTAGTGAAATAGGATCCACTAACTAAAGGTTATTTTCCACCCAAAAAAAAAAAGTTTAACTGTTAGGGTTAGGAATTTTTCATGAGTAAAATATCTGATTTAAATCTGTATGTCGGGCTAGTACTTTTGTGCTTATATAAGGATTTTTGAGCAAGAAGCTCTGTTAGTGTTGTCCATGACGTATCTGACAGTTTTAAATTCAGCTAGTCTTTTTGTGCAGTTTAGAGAAGTCAACCTTTCAAAGACAGTTGGTGGTTGGTGGCTCGTATGAAAACACG